GGGTCATCCCTCTACTCTCTATTGGCCCAGAAACGTCTATGGGGGTCGTCCCTCTACTCTCTATTGGCACAGAAACGTCTATGGGGGTCATCCCTCTACTCTCTATTGGCCCAGAAACGTCTATGGGGGTCATCCCTCTACTCTCTATTGGCCCAGAAACGTCTATGGGGGTCATCCCTCTACTCTCTATTGGCCCAGAAACGTCTATGGGGGCCTTCCCTCTACTCTCTATTGGCCCAGAAACGTCTATGGGGGTCATCCCTCTACTCTCTATTGACCCAGAAACGTCTATGGGGGTCATCCCTCTACTCTCTACTGACCCAGAACCGTCTATGGGGGTCATCCCTCTACTCTCTATTGGCCCAGAACCGTCTATGGGGGTCATCCCTCTACTCTCTATTGGCCCAGAAACGTCTATGGGGGTCGTCCATCTACTCTCTATTGGCCCAGAAACGTCTATGGGGGTCATCCCTCTACTCTCTATTGACCCAGAAACGTCTATGGGGTCATCTCTCTACTCTCTATTGGCCCAGAAACGTCTATGGGGGTCATCGCTATACTCTCTATTGGCCCAGAAACGTCTATGGGGGTCATCCCTCTACTCTCTATTGGCCCAGAAACGTCTATGGGGGTCATCCCTCTACTCTCTACTGACCCAGAAACGTCTATGGGGGTCATCCCTCTACTCTCTATTGACCCAGAAACGTCTATGGGGGTCATCCCTCTACTCTCTACTGGCCCAGAAACGTCTATGGAGGTCGTCCCTCTACTCTCTATTGACCCAGAAACGTCTATGGGGGTCATCCCTCTACTCTCTATTGACCCAGAAACGTCTATGGGGGTCATCCCTCTACTCTCTACTGGCCCAGAAACGTCTATGGGGGTCATCCCTCTACTCTCTATTGGCCCAGAAACGTCTATGGGGGTCATCCCTCTACTCTCTACTGGCCCAGAAACGTCTATGGAGGTCGTCCCTCTACTCTCTATTGACCCAGAAACGTCTATGGGGGTCATCCCTCTACTCTCTATTGACCCAGAAACGTCTATGGAGGTCGTCCCTCTACTCTCTATTGGCCCAGAAACGTCTATGGGGGTCATCCCTCTACTCTCTATTGGCCCAGAAACGTCTATGGGGGTCATCCCTCTACTCTCTACTGGCCCAGATACATCTATGGAGGTCGTCCCTCTACTCTCTATTGACCCAGAAACGTCTATGGGGGTCATCCCTCTACTCTCTATTGACCCAGAAACGTCTATGGAGGTCGTCCCTCTACTCTCTACTGGCCCAGAAACGTCTATGGGGGTCATCCCTCTACTCTCTATTGGCCCAGAAACGTCTATGGGGGTCATCCCTCTACTCTCTACTGGCCCAGAAACGTCTATGGAGGTCGTCCCTCTACTCTCTATTGACCCAGAAACGTCTATGGGGGTCATCCCTCTACTCTCTATTGACCCAGAAACGTCTATGGAGGTCGTCCCTCTACTCTCTATTGACCCAGAAACGTCTATGGGGGTCATCCCTCTACTCTCTACTGGCCCAGAAACGTCTATGGAGGTCGTCCCTCTACTCTCTATTGACCCAGAAACGTCTATGGGGGTCATCCCTCTACTCTCTATTGGCCCAGAAACGTCTATGGAGGTCGTCCCTCTACTCTCTATTGACCCAGAAACGTCTATGGGGGTCATCCCTCTACTCTCTATTGGCCCAGAAACGTCTATGGGGGTCATCCCTCTACTCTCTATTGGTCCAGAAACGTCTATGGAGGTCGTCCCTCTACTCTCTATTGGCCCAGAAACGTCTATGGGGGTCATCCCTCTACTCTCTATTGGCCAAGAAACGTCTATGGGGGTCATCCCTCTACTCTCTACTGGCCCAGAAACGTCTATGGGGGTCATCCCTCTACTCTCTATTGACCCAGAAACGTCTATGGGGGTCATCCCTCTACTCTCTATTGACCCAGAAACGTCTATGGGGGTCATCCCTCTACTCTCTATTGGCCCAGAAACGTCTATGGGGGTCATCCCTCTACTCTCTATTGGCCCAGAAACGTCTATGGGGGTCATCCCTCTACTCTCTATTGACCCAGAAACGTCTATGGGGGTCATCCCTCTACTCTCTATTGACCCAGAAACGTCTATGGGGGTCATCCCTCTACTCTCTACTGGCCCAGAAACGTCTATGGGGGTCATCCCTCTACTCTCTATTGACCCAGAAACGTCTATGGGGGTCATCCCTCTACTCTCTATTGGCCCAGAAACGTCTATGGGGGTCATCCCTCTACTCTCTATTGGCCCAGAAACGTCTATGGGGGTCATCCCTCTACTCTCTATTGACCCAGAAACGTCTATGGGGGTCATCCCTCTACTCTCTATTGACCCAGAAACGTCTATGGGGGTCATCCCTCTACTCTCTATTGGCCCAGAAACGTCTATGGGGGTCATCCCTCTACTCTCTATTGGCCCAGAAACGTCTATGGGGGTCGTCCCTCTACTCTCTATTGACCCAGAAACGTCTATGGGGGTCATCCCTCTACTCTCTATTGACCCAGAAACGTCTATGGGGGTCATCCCTCTACTCTCTATTGGCCCAGAAACGTCTATGGGGGTCGTCCCTCTACTCTCTATTGACCCAGAAACGTCTATGGGGGTCATCCCTCTACTCTCTATTGGTCCAGAAACGTCTATGGAGGTCGTCCCTCTACTCTCTATTGGCCCAGAAACGTCTATGGGGGTCATCCCTCTACTCTCTATTGACCCAGAAACGTCTATGGGGGTCATCCCTCTACTCTCTATTGACCCAGAAACGTCTATGGGGGTCATCCCTCTACTCTCTATTGGCCCAGAAACGTCTATGGGGGTCGTCCCTCTACTCTCTATTGACCCAGAAACGTCTATGGGGGTCATCCCTCTACTCTCTATTGGCCCAGAAACGTCTATGGGGGTCGTCCCTCTACTCTCTATTGGCCCAGAAACGTCTATGGGGGTCATCCCTCTACTCTCTATTGCCCCAGAAACGTCTATGGGGGTCATCCCTCTACTCTCTATTGACCCAGAAACGTCTATGGGGGTCATCCCTCTACTCTCTATTGACCCAGAAACGTCTATGGGGGTCATCCCTCTACTCTCTATTGGCCCAGAAACGTCTATGGGGGTCGTCCCTCTACTCTCTATTGGCCCAGAAACGTCTATGGGGGTCATCCCTCTACTCTCTATTGCCCCAGAAACGTCTATGGGGGTCATCCCTCTACTCTCTATTGACCCAGAAACGTCTATGGGGGTCATCCCTCTACTCTCTATTGGCCCAGAAACGTCTATGGGGGTCATCCCTCTACTCTCTATTGGCCCAGAAACGTCTATGGGGGTCGTCCCTCTACTCTCTATTGGCCCAGAAACGTCTATGGGGGTCATCCCTCTACTCTCTATTGCCCCAGAAACGTCTATGGGGGTCATCCCTCTACTCTCTATTGACCCAGAAACGTCTATGGGGGTCATCCCTCTACTCTCTATTGACCCAGAAACGTCTATGGGGGTCATCCCTCTACTCTCTATTGGCCCAGAAACGTCTATGGGGGTCATCCCTCTACTCTCTATTGGCCCAGAAACGTCTATGGGGGTCATCCCTCTACTCTCTATTGGCCCAGAAACGTCTATGGGGGTCATCCCTCTACTCTCTATTGGCCCAGAAACGTCTATGGGGGTCGTCCCTCTACTCTCTATTGACCCAGAAACGTCTATGGGGGTCATCCCTCTACTCTCTATTGGTCCAGAAACGTCTATGGAGGTCGTCCCTCTACTCTCTATTGGCCCAGAAACGTCTATGGGGGTCATCCCTCTACTCTCTACTGGCCCAGAAACGTCTATGGGGGTCATCCCTCTACTCTCTATTGACCCAGAAACGTCTATGGGGGTCATCCCTCTACTCTCTATTGGCCCAGAAACGTCTATGGGGGTCATCCCTGTACTCTCTATTGGCCCAGAAACGTCTATGGGGGTCATCCCTCTACTCTCTATTGACCCAGAAACGTCTATGGGGGTCATCCCTCTACTCTCTATTGACCCAGAAACGTCTATGGGGGTCATCCCTCTACTCTCTATTGGCCCAGAAACGTCTATGGGGGTCATCCCTCTACTCTCTATTGACCCAGAAACGTCTATGGGGGTCATCCCTGTACTCTCTATTGGCCCTAATACGTGTACGGAGGTCGTTCTTGTACTCTCTATTGGTCCTTGTTTTATGTTTGGTTTGCTAGCCTGTGTTTTTAACTTAATTTTCTTGCATCGTATCCCAAATAAAAGCTCTTCGTCACACTAAATGTGTCTCTATTGCACACATTGTGTTTATCATGCAATTTATATGCGAAAATGAGTTTTTATGTGCATAGCACATTAGTCGTGGTGTGGTGTGTGTGTGTATTACATGCAATAAAGTGCGAATCAAATGGACGCAAAAACTACGTATCACATGCACATAAAATCAAATTTTCGTGTATAAATTGCACATAGAAATATATTTTAATAAGATCAGGCTGGTGTTCAGAGCAGTACGTGACAAATATGTGTTAGGAGATGATCTGTGATATTTGCTTCACCTGTAACTGGTCATGATGTTTGTGCTCATGACCTAAATTTGTGACCTTATAGTAACAACTTAAAAGTTGTTAATTAATTTATAGTAACTTATCTCTGATTCTTTTATTCTTATTTCTTCTGCCATACAGTCTGCACAATACTTCTTAATGACATAATGATATTACGTATTTATTTAATGATATAATAGTAAACACTCTAAAAATGTCAGTCAAATGCAATGTCTTATTGCCTAATGTCTAATTTAAAAGAAAATGCATCAAAATCCGTCTTACATCTGATGCACAGTAATTACTAATGCATAATACAAAATAATAAAGCACAGTAAAAACTAATTTGCTAAAAAAAGAAGGCTAAGTTGCTTTTTCAGTGGACTCAAAGTTCAACAGTCTGGAGAGGAAGTTAAATGCATGAGGCATGAGGCTTTAGTAAATTGTGTCATCACACCTAAGCCAGTTTTCCTGCAGTGTTTCAGACCAGCAGACCACAGTTTATACCAGCTAAAGTGACGAAGATGAACCGGAGGATGCTCTGTATCACCCTCTTCATTGCTGTACTGCCTTGCATGGCTAAAGGTACGTCAATTCTTATCTCTATACTAACTTTATTGATAGATGTGTAAAATTAGACCTCTCACCAATTACGCTTTATGTCTTCTGCAAGAACTCTGAATCTGAGCCATGGCATCAGCCGGACACATGCTGACGAAGGCTTCATTTACAGAAGGCTTTAGTCTGCAGGGAATAGATTGTTAATGTCAAGCTGTGAAAGGCAAAAAGAAATAAAGGATGTTTAACTTTGATTTAAATTTTTTTTTTTTAAACTAAAAATAATTCTAATTCTGTATACTGGTAAAATGAAATTTTTTTCAGTACATTTTAGCAAGCATCCTGTGTTGATGTTTTAACATAACAGAAACATTTATAATAGCTAAAATGTAAACAAATTTAGTTATTAAACTTTGTTTAAACATTTTTTTCTTTTTAAAATTTAATTCATTTAATAACAAAAAATTACTACAAAGATCCATGAACGAATAATGACATCACATTTTGATAGAATAAACGCTCCTTCTGAGAGCACTTTAAGACATCATTTGGTAACATGTTATAAGTATACTGTAATAAAGTACTTACAGATTAACAAACTATTCGTTTTTAGTTAAAATATTATAGTATACATTGTTAATATATTAGGCTATATATTCAACGTGAGTTCGTCATGGATTGTCACTGTAATTAACACTATTTTTATTGTTTAATTAGCTCATATTGAAAGAGTTAGATAATGTATAATATGCTTTGAAATTTATGAATAAGGAAAAATGTCATAAATAAAGTGCTTTAAACCTATATTAGATATCAATTGCCTTCATATTCAGTGTTCCTTAAAATGTTTATAAATACATTAAGCACCCCCCCCCCACACACACACACACAGACACACAAACACAGACACACACACAAACGCAGACAGACCCGCACACAAACACACACAAATACGCACACATGCACGCACACACACACACGCACACACTTTGGCACATGTGGTTCACTTGTTTGCGGCGACAGTCCATACACATGATGATTTTTAATCTGACACTTTCCCATTTGTGACCTAATCTAAAGCGAGAACTATTTACATTTAATAAGTTGTTAACAAAGCATAAAAGATTACCAAACTATTTATGAGCTAATTAAACAATAATAATTTTGTTAATTACAGTGACAATGAAGAACTTATTGGTATATAGCCTATTTATATATTAACAACGTAGAGACTACGAATAGTTTGCAACTGATTTGTGAGTACTTTATTTCTGTTTACGGTAACACTTTGTAATACTGTTCCTTCATTAATGAACAACTACAGATTAACAAATTAGTAAGTAACAGCGCTGTTGAATGGTAGTTCACTATTAGCTAATCAATAACTACTGTTTTTCACACCGTACTGAAGACTATTATGAAGAACTACTATATACAAGTTCATAATTAACATGAATAATGCATTATTTATAATAATAGGTAACGGTAACCCACTAGTAATGACTCAAGTTTACTAATTTGTAAATCAGAGTTTATTGTTAGTTATATACACTCGTCTACGGACAAATATGGACAAACCGAGCAATTTAGTTACATTTTTTAATTACATTTTTAACCCAATGTTTGGGTTTGTCCATATTTGACCCAAAGTTGGGTTAAAACAACCCAGTATTTTTAGAGTGCAATGGTTTTAACATATTGTTATATACAGTAGTGTTAACAGTGCATAACTCACGTGTTCCTGTGTGATTATCAGTTAATGAAGAAGTGTTACCCGTGATTTTAATTCCATCTGTTGTCCAAAACCATTCTCACACTCTAAAAACTGCTGGGTTGTTTTAACCCAATTTTGGGTCAAATGTGGACAAACTCAAACATTGGGTTAAAATTGTATTAAAATGTGTCCCAAATTTGGGTTAAAACAAACGTAGTATTTTTCAGAGTGTAACATATGCATTCAGTAACAATAAGTGCATTAGTTAAATGTTGCATTAGCATGGCCGCAGTCAGTGTGTGAATAGAGACTGTGCATAAAGTGTGTGTGTGTGTGCATGGGAAACCGACTGTTTTAAGACAGGTGTGTGATGTTTGTGGCTTTGATGGCCAGCGCTGTAACAGTCCTGTGGAGCTCTGGCGTGTCCTGTCCGACTCGAAGCAGAAGTGAGAGTGGGAATGGGAAACAGACCCCTGGGATGTGGCTGTGCAACGGGCCACCGGTGCAATGTGTTTCCTGAGGGACCCAATCAGAGGGGCTCTTCTGCAGCGCCGACGACGCGCACACACACATCTCAGGCCTCGCTCTCGCTTCCCCTTTCTGCAGTTAAAAATAATGCCCGGGCCCCTTCTTCATCAAAAATGTGACAAGACCCTGTGGTGTTGTTGTTGCAGAAACTGCGATCCAGAGCCGTGTCTCGCAATTTCCGCTAAACTTTGGATTTCACGCCTTAAATTTTGCACAAACCACATTCTGACGTTTGACTTTCAGTGACGTCCACCTCAACAGCGCTGCTGGATGCCGTTGAACATCAAGACTTAATGTTGAAGTGTGTTTGCATTACATTTTTTGAAAGAATTATAAGCCTAAAAATATGATCATTTAATCACCCCCATGCTTTCCAGCAGTGTTGTAGTCGAGACCACCTCACTCGAGTCCGAGTCGAGTCCGAGACCAGAGACGGTCGAGTCCGAGTCGAGACCGAGACCACTGAGGGTTGATTACCTAATTTACTTTTATTTACTTAGAGAAATCCTTTTTTTTATTTATTATTTTTTACTGAATTTACTTAGAGTTTAAAAAATATGATCAGTTTAGGGTAAAAAGGCCACATAGTAGGTGGTGTTAAAAGTCATTTTATTACAATTTGTCATGCGCAGTTGCGCACTAGAAAATCACCAATCACTGGGCGTGTCAATCAATTTAAAGAAACATTTTATTAACATACATTAATAATCATGAAAAATATTTTTAATTGAACTCGAGTGGACTCGGGAATAATTCCGAGTCCTAAAAAAAAAATGTTCGAGTACGAGTCAATTCCGAGACCAAGACCATTAAAATATGGTCTCGAGACCGAGTCCGAGACGAGTCCGAGTCTCGAGTACTACAACACTGCTTTCCAGTAAAAATATCTAACCATCCTAAAAGCAAGATGAATATCCTTTGAAAGATAACTAGACTTTGTTTTCCAGTATTATAAATTAAATTCGGCGTGAAACGGTAGTTGCTTTTCCCCTTATTGTGACGGATATCCAACGGCTTTTGGGAGAAGAGCAAATGTAGGGCGGGACCTGATTTTGATGTTGTCCATCGGGAACGGATCGGATGCGGTCTGATGTGATTAGCCGTGCTTCCTTTCAAAGTTGCGAATATGCACATATCGCATCAAACATTCGGTAATGAAGCAGACAGCAACAGACTCACATCTGAACCTGTAATTTAATGTAATAAAAAAGTTATTGTTGGTTTAACTTAAAATAAGTAAGTAACCTGCATGGTTGCTGTAAAATTTGTAAGTTCAATGAAATAAAATAAAAAAGTGAGGTAATTCAATGAGGGAGAATGGTTTAATCGACAGAAACTCAAAATATTACGGGTGACACTTTACAATAAGGTTCATCTATATTGATACTATATTAACTAAGAATAAATACAGCTTTATTCATGTTAATTTCAACATTGAATAATACTTTATTAAATCTTGTTAGCATTAGTTAATGCACTGTGAACTGTATTTTTATTAACTAACATTAACAAAGATTAATAAATACTGTAACAAATGTATCGCTCATTGTTCATGTCAGTTAATACATTTACTAATGTTAAATAATGAACCTTATTGCATGTGATCTGAACGACATATTTGACAAAAAAGTGTTTTGACAGCAAATCATGAAAATATTTTTTTTGCAGTGAATAAGCTCTGGGGTTTTGATAAGAGTTTTTAGGGCAGTGGACCAGGACACATATAGGGCACACTGTAAACAAATATTTTCATGATTCGTTGTCAAAACATTTTTTGTCTTGTTAAATCAACTTAGATGATTTATGTAGTTGAGGTAACATAATATTTTGAGTTTCTGTCTCCTTCATTGTATTTAAACTTCAATGAGTTTAAAGTTAAACCAGCAGGTTACTTACTTCTTTGGGTTAAACCAACAATAACTTTTTACAGAACTTGTTTGTGGGGAGATTTTGAAGCATACAATATGTGTAGAAGAGCTAATCAGCCCAACGGCAGGGTTTGTTTATATTCGACCCAAACTTGGGTTGAAACAACCCAGCATTTTTTAGAGTGGACTGAGCCTGTAGTGTAAGGTGAAGTCCTTGCTTATCCTGCTCAGGTCCTTGCAACTGTAAAAAAAAAATATTTTCATGCTTGTAATCACAACATTTTTTCTTTTGTCAAATCATTTATGTAGTTCAGGTAACATAATATTTTGAGTTTCTGACGGTTAAATCAATCTCCTTCATTGTATTAACTCAATTTTTCCATTTCAACGAACTTAAAATTTTAAGGCAACCAGGTTAGTTCATTTTTTAAGTTAAACCAACAGTGTGTAATTTAATTTTATAATTTTACACTCTAAAAAATGCTGGGTTGATATAACCCAAATTTGGCTCAAATATGGATAAACCCATGCTGATTTTTAAATCACAATTTTTACCCACTGGTTTGGTTTTTCCCGCAAATTTTAGCGTTCAGTAACTCTGAAATCCTTGACCATCTTGCTTTCTGATTATGGTTTCAGGTCAGTTTTGAGGACACCAAGAAATCTGAAAAAAAGCTGGGTTAACCCAACGTTTGGGTCAAAGGTCCCACCTTATATTAAGTGGCTTTGAGTACTATGTACTTGCATCGTGTGGTCCTGTTGTATTGTAAAACACTTTTGCTGCTATTGAGGTATGCTACAGGTAAGTTTAGGGACAGGTGTGGTATAAGGGTAGGTTAAGGTGTGAGGGATGGGTCAACTGTGTAATTACAAATTAATTACAGCTGTAAATACATGCTGGTATTTTTAAAATATAAGTACAATGTAAAAATACACAATAAGTCCATTGTATCAAATTATTAATTTCAATGTAAGTACATAGTGCTTAAAACCACTTAATATAAAGTGGGACCGGGTCAAATATAGACAAACCCAAACGTTGGGTTAAAAATGTAATTGAAAAATTAGCAGGGTTTACCCATATTTGACCCAAAGTTGGGCATTTTTAGAGTGTAACATAATTCTACAACTTGTTTGTGGGAATATTTTGCAGCTTACTGTATGTGTGCTCCCTTTAGCAAATGAAGAGCTAATCAGCCCGTATGATATGACAGTGAGCGATGTGGATAAGAGCTCGTCCCCGGCGTCCCCGGCGTCCCCGGCGTACTGTGGCCTGGACGAGCTGAAGCTCTCTCTCGCTCAGCTCATCCAGGAGGAGCAGGAGAGCAGGGGCTTGTTCGGGGAGATGGTGAAGGCCCTGAATCAGCTGGTGCAGGAGAACAAGGAGGCGGCCAGCGTCCAGGTCGAGGTGCTGAAGGTCCTGCGGGCCATGAACGATCGGGGCGAACCGGAGATCAATCACCTGCAGAGCATGGCCCGTCTTCAGAGCCTCCTCGTGGAGAACCATCAGGCTCTTCTCCTGCAAACGTCCCGCATCGCCACCATGATGCAGGACCAACTCAAGAAACAGAGCCAATAAAAATGGCATTTTTATGACATACAGTCAAACCAAAAATGATTCAGACACCAGATTTATTGTTTGACATTTTTTTACTAGTGTGTCCAGGACACTAGAGTTCATTTCTGTGAGTGAGGGGAGCAAAATAAAGTAAACTGTGACGTATTACACCCAAATATTCTTCATACAGTGAAGACACCAAAAATGATTCCTCCACTTTGAGCTGATGATGTTTTGTTGAAGTATGTTTTCTTTACTCTTTTTACACACACACTGAACAACATGAAGCACTGGTCACTGGTTGAGCTAAACTGGTATCATCTAATTGTGTAGTTCAATTTTACAGATATTCAACATAATTCATGTGTGAGAGTCCAACAGAAGGACGGACAAAACCAGTCAAATATCCACTGAGTTCATGTTGAAATGTTGAAGGGGGTCTAAATAAATTTTGGTTTGACTGTATAAAACTTGTACTAACAAAAAGGCACGCTAAAAACGTCAAAATAATCTAGCTAAAATGACCCAATCCTGACATCTAATCAAAACATGTAATGAAGTGCATATCATTTAGTTGATATAGTCAATATTTGAAGTGGATCAAAATTATTCATGAATTTTGAACAATAGCCGTTCTTGTCTTAGGACAACTTTGATAAACTTTTTTGATTAATGTTTTGATTGATGAATGATCTAACTTTACCTGTAACATGTTTCATGCACGATCAAATGACAATAAACAAGCTATTGATGATACCTCTGTTCGGCATCAGGAATCATTGAATTAATCAATCTCACTGTTTTACCAATGCACAACATTTAACATATTTCTATTTCTACACAGCAAAAACTCCAGAGTTATATTAACTCTCCTGGGAGTTTATATGATCTTCACTGGAGGTGAAAAAAAAATCACAATTTTAAGTCACCATTATGGAGATCAGTATTTGATTTAGTTGGTCAGTTAACCCTTACATTTTTAATTTTAGATTTTGTTCAGTTGTTGCAACAGTGTTACAACTTCCAGATGAACAAAGAGAAAAGATGATCTAATAGTGTTGGTTATGTTCTAACAAAATCATCAGTTGACCTGAATCACTGAACTAATTTAAAGTCTAATCTCTTGACTTAAATGTATATTGTTGATTACAGCATCACAGTGATTCCACAGCGTAAGATCCAGAATTTTTGATACAATTCAAATGCTTCCTTAAAAAATTTAATCTTTCTTTTAGGCACTTACAGACATCTAGAATCAGTGTATGAATCTCAACAATGGTGACAAACAGAATATTCAATTAGGAAAAAGGAAATTACTAAGACAATTCAGATCATACTTTATTCATACTGCAATGCATGATGGGAGCTACGAATAAGTTCTGATGGGTGGAGCCCACTTCAACATGCTTTATTATTGTCACCATTGTTGAGATTCACAGTTTGATTATTGATGTCAGTGTGTCTAAACAAAATAATTTTTCAAACTTTTGATCAGAACAAATTTTAAGAAATATTTGGGATTATATTGGAAGTGTTGAAAATCATTTGAAATAGAGTTATAGTGTTGCTGTTATCAACAAGGTAAACCTATAATGCTCTATATGAGTTTTGTGATTCTGATTAAGTCAATTAAGTCAATTAATCACTTAATTAGCTCATTAACTTTAACACTCTTGAGTCTGGAGCCAAATAAACTCCCAGGAGAGTTCATTTAACACTGGAGTTTTTGCTGTGACATATTTTTTTTTCCGTGATAGCATCTCTTCATTGCTTACCTGTTGAATATAGAGTTGATTTAAAGGTTTTAGTGTTCATTTTTAAAGCAATGTATGGTATTGCTCCGACTGATCTCAGATCTGTTTCATCCCATATTCTGAATGTCCGGATCCTCTTCTCTGCGTACTGTAAAACATAATAAAATAATTAGACCTCTCCAACTCAAAAAGTGTCTTAACATTGGCTCAATCAGAAATAATATACTGAGCCAATGGGCCAATTTGTTGGCCCAACTAAATATTGAATATTGTAGTTGCAATTTTATTTTTCACTGTCCGTAATTTTTTCCTTATTTCTTTTGATTATTTTAATTTCCTCTATGTAAAGCACTTTGAAATACCATTTTGTGTGAAATGTGCTATATAAATAAACCTGCCTTGTCTTGCCATGAAAAACATAAATACATTAAGCAAAATACAGAACAGGGTTGACATTTTGTCAACATCACTTTACTAAAAAAACAATTACAGCACAGAATATTTGGTGAAAATACCTTTTCAATAATACGGTATCAAAAATACCATTTTAAATAAGGAAAAACACTGAATACATTTAAGAAGTCTTCTGCACAACAGGGTGTCTTAATGTGGGGAAGAAAACTTTCAAAAGTGGCACTTCATAGGTTACAAATCTTCAAATAATAATACAAATATTATTAACAAAACTCCCCTGCGTCACATACGGCCTGTGAGAGTGACGTAATTATATAAAGAGGGTGAGACTTATTTATTTATCTATTATGGTGAGACTTGTGTCAGTCAACATAGATTTTGCTTCATGATTTATTTCATGGTATGTAAATATATACAGCTTTCAGGACTGATTAAAGTTACTGACATGATTGAGAAGAAAATCTAGAATCAGTGTATGAATCTCAACAATGGTGACAAGAAAATCCCGAGTGTAGACTGCGATCTAACGTCACTGTGTCACACAAACCACATCTCAGGAGTCGATCAAACCGTATTTTAGACATATATGACACTGTCAGATAATTCTGTGGAAAACACGATCATGAAACCAATGAACGCATGAAATCGCAATTCTACTAAATGTCTTTTAATCTTTTTACTAGGTCCTAAAGAAAGGTTTTGGAGAATAATTTCCGTGCTTTATACTTACAATAACGTCTTGAAACTTGAAGAATATCAGAATTCTCTTGTTTTTCGGTCTTTAACACGGCTGTTACTGACTCAAAAACACATTACCTCTCTATAAATCTCCTAAATATGTCTACATTTTCTGGCCTATGCGTAACTTCGTAGCCTTCATGTTTTACAGTGATGTTTTGGGTTATGGTTTTCTCTCTTTATTTCCTTTTAAATTATGAGTAATTTTACATTTGTTGATGAATTCTATTGTAGAGTGATGTGTCATTTTGCATGTTGTGCAACACTTTGGTCTGCACTCATGTTGCTCTTAAAGTGTATATAAAGAAACGTGACCTTGACCTCTTCTGTGTGTCTGAGCAGAGTTCTCCGCTCCAGTGATAAAGCTGAACTCCTCTCCTCTGAATGGATCAGAGATAGTCTGGGCAGCGAAGGAACCCTTGCGTCTGCTTTGTGAGGGACAGGAGGAGGTCATGTGGAGGACACGAGTCGCCCGACTGCAGAAACACGTGTCCCGAAGCGTCCTCTCGGTCCCGGAGCCCGGCGCAGAGCACACGGGGACATACCGCTGCAGTTACAAGAGTCACAGACACCTGTACTCAGAGATACACATATATGTGAAAGGTATGTGCACCAAAACAATTACTGTAGAAAGATTATTGAATTTGAAATTTATTTCGAACATTGGAAAAGAAAGTACATAAAAATATAAAACAATGTTTAAAAACAAAAACATCTGTTAACATCTATTACATGTGCGAAAAGGAGTAGGAAGAAGTACAACTTATACACTCCTACACCATTAATTCTTATGGTCATTCACGGTCATCATGGTCATTATATATATATATATATTTGCACTGTAAAAAATATTTTCATGATTAGTAATCACAAAATTTTTTCTTTTGTTAAATCAACTTAAATAATTTATTTAGTTCAGATAACATATAATTTTGAGTTTCTGATGATTAAATCATTCTCCTTTATTGTATTAACTCACTTTTTCCATTTCAATGAACTTAAATTTTAAGGCAACTAGGTTACTTCATTTTTTTAAAGTTAAACCATCAATATTTTTTTACAGTGATACATACATGCATATATACATGCATATATACAGTATATATGCATACACACACACACACACACACACACACACACACACACACACACACACACACACACACACACACAACATGAGTTGTTTAAAACATTCATTAAAGCATCTGTAATTAATACATAGACAAAATTGTGGGAATGAACAAAAAAACAAAAACTGTAAAACCTGATGAGTTAGTTCAACTCAAACCGTTTGAGGAAACCGATTGCCTTAAATCATTTAAGTTTATTAACTCAAACAATTAAATCATAAAAAAATATTTGACTTGTTTCCAAGTAACTCAATAACTTATTGTTAAGATAATTCGGGTAATTAAAGTTAATAGTACTAATTAGTTACTACAACTTAAATCTATGAAGTACACTGTAAACCCGAAAAAGTTGGCATAACTCAAATCACTTTAATAGTATAAACTTAGTTAGCATTAAAAGCTAATCTGCTGACGTAGTAAATGCTAACATATTAGAAACAGTATGTTATAAGCACATACAAGAAGCACTTGCTGTATGAGCGTAATAACATAAAGGGACAATTTGCTCTCAAATCAAGCTGAATGCACCACTTGTCACCATGGTGGTAACTATCCTAAAGCCAACATTAACAGAAATTCTTCTAAATTAGCATAACAAAACATTAATCACTACTAAATCTCACACTTAACATTAATTTTACACACACAAAAAAAACATTATATTGCACTTAATTTTAGCATTTACACTCTATTTCGAGTGCCATCGGCAAAGTATGCTGGGAAATAGATATCCCAGCTGTTTCAGTTAAACTTAAGTTCGTCTAAATTAAAATAAATCATTTCATAAAACTCAAAACAACGAAACAGTTCAGTTTACTTAAAATATATCAGTTCTGTGAACTTGAAAGACTGAACTAATTCGTTGAATTTAAGTTTGTCCTACTCAAACCAATTAATTATTTTGACCGTTAGGATTTACAGTGATCGTGATAATAATCAGTTATTGGCATGGGCTTTTTTTTCTGCAATAGATTCTGTCAAAGCCTTTACTAGCCCTCAAAACCCAGTGATAGTTGAGAAAGAAGGCTCGAACCACTGGCTGGACTGCTTGGTGACGGACCCGGCGAGTACCGAGTTCTCCCTCAAGATGGGCAACGGGTCGGACGTCGCGCCCATGATCAATTATACAGCGGATCCCAAACGTGGCATTCTGATCCAAAACCTTCAGCCCAGCTACGACGGAGATTATGTGTGCGCTGTGAAGATTAACGGAGTCCAAATGCAGTCTGATGTCTTCAGAATCACTGTCCTAGAAAGTGAGTTGTGTGAGTCTTTAATGCTGTTTTGGAGTGGTGTGTTGTTGAAGCGATCCTGCTCTACCCATGTGTTTCTGCAGAAGCCCAACAGCCGCCGCTGCTGTCCCTTCCAGATCATCAGTATGTGCGAATCGTCGGTGAAACGCTGCGGATCCCTTGTTACCTCGAAAACCAAGATCATTCGTTCAACATCACCTGGAGATCATCAGAAAAGGTGGAGTGTTCTGGGAACTCAATCTCAGAAGGTTATTGGTTAGGAACTGAATCAGTCAGACAATCCTGGTCTTGAAACCTCGGCCTTGGTCTTAATTTCATTACACATTGTCTTGGTCTAGACTCTCGGCGTGTGATCACAGACAGTTTTGAAATTCTAGTAAAGATATTCCAAACTTCCATATGTTGATTTATTCTTATCAGTTCTTGCTTTCCCTGGGAATCGAACCCATGACCTTGACGTTGCAAGCACCAACGCTCCACTGTTTAAGCGTTTCTATTTTCTATTAAATTTATTAATAATCAAATGACCCAAAGCACCACTGAGCTACTCCTACTCTTTATTAATGCACACATGCATAGCAAGAGTAGAGGAATTCCAGGTCACACTTTAATTAGAGGGTTAATTCAACAAAAAAAATGACTCCTTATAAAACCCTTTCATCTTCGTAATACAAATGAAGATCTTATTGATCAAGTCTGTGAGATCTCTGTCCCTCCATTGACAGGCTGCGCAACTATCACTTCCAAGGCCCAGAAAGGTAGTAAAGACATCATTAAAATCATTAAATCATCCCTACTGTCAGCTTTCTCCACAGAACAAGAGCCTGCTAGCTTAGCTTCCAAACAAAGATGGCCGACACTGTGTGTTCATTTTGTGAGTGAGATCACCCTCTATGGGCGGGTTGAGGACATGCGGGACGGACCCAACTACTGACTGTAGTCTTTAGCCTCTTGGCGCAAAATGACGACCAAAAATATATAAATCTCTCGTCTCAGGGGGATATGAGGGTGGAAAGCACGGTGATTCGAAAATACTACAGGTTTTCTACTAATACAAAGCTTATGCTAAATCCTGAAGTATCCCTTTAAAGGTCAGCAGTGTAATTGTATATGTAATAAAATACATTAATTACGTTAGTAAGCTACACTGTGTGATTTTTACCTCCATCTAGTGGTGAAAAGGTGTATGACCATCCAGTGAATATTAGTTTCTGTTCCTCTCAATTCCGATTTGGTTTTAACTCCTACGGTGGCCAATGTAGTCCAAGATTAACATGGCTTCCAGTTCGACCTCGTCCATGAGTGTTAACTCAAACGTAAAAAAAAAAGGCGACAGGCGAAGCTAAATTAACAGGTATCTCCCTCTTCAATGGCATATTATACACTCACGAGAATACTTTATTACTTGAACGAAGTAAATATACATTAATGAGCACATATATTTTTGAAAGAACTAAGTGTTTTTAGCTAAGAATAAACTAAAAGAGTTACACAGTGTAGCTTTAAGGTGTCATTGTTACAGTGTAATTATATGATTAATATTAAGCAACTACATGTACTTACTATAGGGTTTGGTTGAGGGTTAGTTGCATGTAACTATGCATAATTTACTGTTATTACTATGGTAAGTACATGTCACAAAGTTTCTTTTAAGGTGTGCGTGCATTTTAGTTCTGTGTAATAATAATTAACTATATAGGTTTAGGGTTGGGATTAGGATTTGGTTTGGGGTTAGTTGCATTATGCATGATTCATAGTTTTTAATACAGTTACTATGTAACGTGTAACAAGGACACTGTAAAATAAAGTGTTACCGGCATTTTTTTAAACTTTAGTACATGTATATGTACACAATAAGTGTACTATATCAAATTCTGACACTATATATAAAGTGGGACTTGATTTCAATTCAAAGCCAGGCCATTCAGTTCCTCTAAATCCATTTCAGTTCCTGATTGTTATAAGACTGTTTTGAATACTTACTGCACCGTTTGGTATAATACGTATCAATATTTGTTCAACTTAGGTACTGAATCATGAAACAAAGAAAGACAAAAGGTGTGACATTTGCTTCACTTCCCTTTTGACTCTTCATGAAGTCAACATGTCTGACTCGGGGAATCTGACCTGCACCGGGCAGAATAAAGCTGGACAAAGCAGCGTCACTGCAGTTCTTACAGTTGTAGGTAGGTTTCTTTATACCAGACAGTGATACTCTTTGTGAAATTGTGTTTAAGTCGTGGTCTTGCTGTTTTCTTTCAGATAAACCTTACATTAAACTTACTCCCATCCTGTCCTCCGAACTCAAGGTGAATGGAACGGATATTGAGGTGATGCGAGGGGATGTTGTAAAACTTGGTGTGCAAATCGAAGCATATCCAGAAGTTAAATGGACACGTTGGAAAACTCCCGAATCGAATCACACCCACGAGGAAACATTTCTCAGGATGCATAAAAGGTTGAACCGACTTGTTTTTGTGCTTAGAATTATAAGGTGATCTGAGACCAGATCAGTGGGTTTCTTCATCCAAAAAGTCATTAAATCTTTCATAAATTACTCACTCTCATGTTGTTCCAAACTCGTAATCTTTGGAACACAAATGAAAATCTTTTTGATGAAATCTGAGAGCTTTCTGTCCCTCCATTGACAGTTTGACGCTTTAAAAAGTCCATAAAGAGATAGTTAAACAAACCATAGTTGAAGTTGAACGGTGTAGTCCAAATTTGCTAAAGAGACTTGATCGCTTTACTTGATGTAAATTTAAAATTTAGGCTTTTATTGACATATATACACATTGATCAGCGAACAAAAACAGAAACTCACCCAAACCTGCTTGACACTAGATCAAACCTCTTGCTGTGACGCGTGTAAGGGTTAATGCCCGACGAGGTGTCCATTGTCAGGTTTTAATGGACGACGGCGAGGCGTAAACCGGCCGACGCGCAGCGGAGGACGGTTGCCTCCGCCGAAGTCCATTAAAACCTGACAATGGACACCTCGGAGGGCATTAACCCGCTTATACCATGGTCACTTGCCAAATAAAACATTAGTTTATATTTTAATTAGGCTAAATCTAGTTTTTACAAATAATAACTTGCCTTGCCTGCCTGACTGTTTATTTAGCAACCGGATATATAGTCCGCTTAGCTCGTATCCCTTCAGTTTCACAAATGCATTTTTTTTTTCATGAAACACAAAGGTAACGTTAGGCATAGTTTTTTTTTTATTACACATAAAACAATTAATCAAACAACAATAAAAAAAACAATTAGCTCTGATCTCCAGCGATTTGCGCTTAACGTTATAGAGGGCAATAAATTAATCAGATCAAAGAGAGGATTTGCCTCAGGCTCCTTAGGCTTGAAACGCTGTAACGTTCAGCCTTCTCCTGCCTTGGTTGTCTGGATAGCTGCGTAAAACTCCCGCAGGGTCTCATTCAGGGGTGCGTTTCCCGAAAGCATCGTTATCCAACTATGGTCGCAAGTTAGCTACGTCGTTACCAATAGAGTTCAATGGAGCAGAGCAGCAGCGGTGTAATTTTCTCCGTTTTATTTACATTTTTTCTTTCTTCAGCAGCATACCAGTCGTCAAAGTTGCCATAGTCTCCATAAATGTTAAAAGAAATAGCACGAAGTCGCTCATTGTTGTATTAGGCTATAATATCTAACGTTAGATGATAGAGCATGTGACTGCCTGTTGCTATGGTTACTCACAGCCGTTGTAGGCAGCGCATTTATTTATTCATTTCGAATGGTAAACAGGCAGTTTCACCAGAACTACTTTACTAGGTGTCCTCTATCACTTTTTAACGGACACCCTGCAGCCAATCAGAATCGAGTATTCACCCAGACCATGGTATAAAACATAATAAACCCCATTGTGTGTAAGCTAATGAATGTTTTTATGTGAATAAAAGACTAAATGCAATCTGTTCATAACATAACGCAATGGACTACTTGCACTGAGCTTCGCGACGCACTTCCGTTTGGAAACAATACATATCACTTATTTCCGGTTACGTTTACTTTCAGAGTTGAACAAACACCACCTAAAATGAGTGTCTGTAATAAGATTTTATATTTTGGACATTTTTATTGACAGAAAATATTCTGATGTTTACCGTGTGCAGAATTTTCAAAACTCATCGGAACGTTAAAATCCAAAACAAGCCAATACGAGAAAGCGGCGGCTGTTAAAAATACGCCATTATTTCACCACAGGGTGTCAGTGTTCGTCTACACTAGTGACCGCGACGCTGAAACATCAGTACGAAACACGAACATTTATTTATTTGGATTAAATATTGTAATCAATAATCATTCAGTGTCGTTTTTCCAATGTCAGTCGTTTTACTATTACACGTTCATGCCCAAAATGCTTAATTTATTCGGAGAAGTTGACTGTCATTCTATGCCTGCGTTGTAGGCACCTCGCGATCATTCATTCATTCATAAACTATTTTAAAAAGACAGGAATAAAGCACCAATGTTATTAGTCAAATTCATTAAAGAAAGAATTAAAACATGTAAACTCAAGTATAAAATATAAGTAGGCTAATACTGACAGAAGACTACTGCAGGTTAGTGGTGGATAAATATATTTAGCCTATTTATTATTCAGAATGGAACAGTTAGAAAGAAAATATATTTAGGCTATAGCAGGAACATTTCAGCAGGCTCAAGATAATTAATACAGAGATCGTTATTCATTGTTTTAATCAATTGGCATCCATAAAACGTAGTGATAATCTGCATTCTCATGTATGAACGTGCAATGAACACAACCGGAAACTCCCGGTATGTAATATGTAGATCGCGGAAGTAGTTGTGCAAGAAATGTCGTCCACGCTGCTGGCCAATGGAGATCGACGTCTGCACCTGGCGGCCATCTTGTGACAGGCAGCTCGCTCACTCGTAACATTGTGTTAGTGGTACATGTACTATTTAAATGACCATAACTTGCTCAATTTTCTACCGATTTTCAAACGTTTTGTTTTGTTATAAACGTCAGAGATGTAGTTATGACACTGCATAGTTATGAATAAAAAGTGTTTAAATAAATAACCATCCAGATAATTATAGCCACGTTAATAACGTTTGTAAGAAACCAAACCGTTTGTAAATCCGTCAAGATTTCAACGAGATAAGAGTATTTGTGTTCGTGCTGACCATTCATCTTACATCAGCTTGTCTGTGACAAGATGGCCGCCGGTGATGACGATGGAAACTCCGACGTAATACAGCTAGCCTTTATATACATATCTATGGTCCATTGTGTCTCTTCAGAAAATTTGGATTAAACCACTTGATACATATGGATCACTTTTACAATCTCTTTATGAACTTTTTGAAGCGTCAAATTGGCAGTTGCGTAGCTGTCAATGGAGATTTCATCAAAAAAAGATTTGACATTCATAGATGAACGGATTCGGAACGACATCAAGGTGAGTAATTAATTACTGACAGAATTAATTCCTTTTTTTGGTGGACTAACAGCTAAATGAATAGTAGAGTGCTGTGTTATAGCAGTGCTATGCATGTCCTTGTTTCCCAATATTGTTCAAATTCATTTATTTAATGATTTTACAAGTAATCTCTATTCGACAGTCACAGTAACTTGTCCACAATCCTGCTGAGGAACGTTGGAGAGCAAGAGTACGGTCACTACATCTTCACTGCCAGAAGTGCCCGTGTCAACGCCTCAATAATTTTTACAGTTCACGTCTACTGTAAGTCTTAATAAAAACAAACAATTACATAAATGAACGAAACCATAGCTCCATTTAATCTTTTTTTATTTATTTTGTCTTTCCAAACAAACAGATAAACCCAATACTGAAATTAAGTGGGAGAATGGGGGAATTGCCGTTTGCGTGGCGATTGGTTATCCCGCACCGAGGATTCAGTGGTTCCAGTGTGAAGATGCCAGCACTATGTATGGCCTCATTTTGGATTTCAGATTTGTAATAAGATCGTATATTTTACACTAATGCACTAATTTCTGATTTTAATATGATTGAGTGACAGGTGTAAAGACAACCATACATCCGCTGTGGAATTAATGTCCACCCAGTCCACTTTTGGGCACGCCAGAGAGCATGGACCAGTGCGGGTGAAGAGTGTGTTACCAGTGACTAACGCAAACACTAATGTAACCTTTGAGTGTGTGGCTACAAACGTGGCCGGAGAAGATCGTGACAGATTCACCTTTAAAAGTTCATGTAAGAAAAATGGGTTGGTAACACTTTACTTGAAGGGTAAAGACTGACGTGACACTTTCATAATCATGACAGAACAAGTCATCAATATGAAGGAGGTTTTATGCATACAGGTGAAACTGGAAGAATTAGAATATCGTGCAAAAGTTAAAGCTACACTGTGTGATTTTTACCTCCATCTAGTGGTGAAAAGGTGTATGACCATCCAGTGAATATTAGTTTCTGTTCCTCTCAATTCTGATTTCGTTTTAACTCCTACGGTGGCCAATGTAGTCCAAGATTAACATGGCTTCCAGTTGGAGTGTTAACTCAAACGTAAATGCGAAAGGCGAAGCTTGAATTAACGGGTATGTCCCTCTTTGGCTAATGTACTTTCAAGATGGAGGGGCAACATTAGAACCCCTTACCCGTATGTATTTTCAATGGCATATTATACACTCACGAGAATACTTTATTACTTAAACAAAGTAAATATACATTAATGAGCACATATATTTTTGAAAGAACTAAGTGTTTTTAGCTAAGAATAAACTAAAAGAGTTACACGGTGTAGCTTTAAGTAATTCAACTTAAAAGGAGAAACTAATATATTATTTAGACTGTGAGATATTACAAGCCTTTTTTGTTAGATTTTAAACATGTTTATGACAACTGTCATTAAGTGTCATTCACTCAATTATAACATCTTTAATGCAAATATGACAATGTTTTAGATGTCTTTGTTATGACAACTTGAATGTCAAAACCAACCACATGACAGTTTAATGTAATGTTAACCCATAAAGCTAGGTAAGTTTGATAATTAATCTGCTATGCTTATTTATGACAGGTTATGATGTATTGGTTTATGTCAAGTTGTCATAACAAAAACGTTTCAAACAATGTCATATTCGCGTTAAAAATGTCATAATTGAGTGAATGACACTTAATGACATTTGTCATAAACATGCATAAACCTCCGTCATATTCATGACGTGTGTCCTATAATGATTATGAAGGGGTCATGTCAGTCTTATACACACCCCTTCAAGTAAAGTGTCACCCAAAAAGGTCAATATCCCATTTTGTGCATTTGAAGTGGCGTTATCATCTGATGCATCTCTAATGTCTGCATCAGTTCCTGACAGGCCATCCGTGTGGTCGACTTCAGTGTTGATCACTGTTGTTCTCTCTGGAGCCTTCACTGTGATCATCTTATGGATGTTGATCCTTTTCTACAAGCACAAAAAGGTAGTTCCCCACGTCTGTTGTACTCACAAATGATGCAATAAATACATTTTATAACACCACTATTTTTTTAAGGCACATAAATATGAAATCCAATGGAAAATCATTGAAGTGAATGATGGGAACAATTACACATTCATTGACCCCACTCAACTTCCATACAACAAAAACCTGGAGTTTCCTCGAAATAAGCTGAAGCTTGGTACTGCAACCATGCGCTTATTGTTTTACATTACCGTAGTTTTGTTGGTAGTAATGATAAGAAATAAGTTCTGCATTAAAAAAAACATTGCTTTTACTTCAGGACAAGTTCTTGGAGCAGGAGCTTTTGGGAAGGTGGTGCAAGCAACCGCTTTTGGGCTCGTCAAGGACCAAACCGTTACACGAGTGGCAGTGAAAATGCTCAAGCGTAAGTTCAATACTGTACATATTATGACAAATTTGAGTAGATTTTTATGAAAATTGCTAAATTCATATATTTGAAGTGAATGTATAAATATCACAGATATAATCTATTAATTTTAGGTATTGTGGTTATGGATTGTGATTTAATGATAACACTAAAATTTTGTAGTCTCAAGACTAGGGTTGGGTATCGTTTGAATTTGAACGATTCTGATTCCGATTCCTTGTTTCGATTCCGGTTCCTAACGATTCTCGATTCCGATTCTTTTAAGAGGCAGGGTCAAAAAAGTTTAGCTAACCTTGCTAACCAACGGTCCTTCTGAAGGAAATACTCCTTCTGTAAAAATACTCCTTTTGTCACAAATTTTGCATTTTGCCAAGATTTCGTTATTTTTAGAAAAGTGAAGCCACACTTTGGACCGCCGACGTAAGGTACTCATGTTCGACTCGCGCGGTTATGCCAACACTTCCGGTAGACGCTTCTTCGTTGGTGTTGTTCAGCGGTTTCTTCTTCTGCTCGGCGGACTGGGAATATCGAAACTAGGAATCGAAATTTTTACTTTTGAACGATTCCGGGAAAAACGAAAAGTTAGTCTCGGTTCCAATCGATACTCGATTCTCGATACCCAACCCTACTCAAGACTAGGTAAAGAGAAACAGAGATATAAGTGATAATAAGTCTGAATGATCAAAATCTAGTTTCCCCACTATAAGCTGTTATATTTGTCAAACGCGTGAGCTACTTTAAATAGCTATATAATAATATTCCCGTTATACACCATAAGATGGTCTTCTGGTGCCAATTTAGTCTTAATGCCCATGTAGAGGGTCACGTTAGCATAAGTTCGCTTGCATGCACTCATTATAATTAGAAAGCTGATACGTCACTCATTTGCAATGTAGTTGGGGTAGTATAGCGACACCAGTGGGCTTTAAGTGAACTGCATCCAGCAACACTACTGCCCATTGAAGTCAATATTAAAGGAGTAGTTCACTTTAAAAAAAAAAACAACTTTTTCTGATAATTTACTCACCCCCGTGTCATCCAAGATGTCCATGTCTTTCTTTCTTCAGTCGAAAAGAAATTAAGGTTTTTGATGAAAACATTCCAGGATTTTCTCCATATAATGGACTTCAATGGGAACAGTTTCAGTGCAAACTGTTCAAAGGGCTTTAAACGATTCCAGACGATGAATAAGGGTCTTATCAAGCGAAACGATCGTTCGTTTAAAAAATAAAAAACAAAGTTTAAGTTTTATAAGCTCAAATGCTCGCCTTGCTCTGTTCTGTGATGAGCGTTCGTGACTCTCCTGTTCGAACTCGCTCGTTCTTTTTTCGAGTCATTTGGCTCGAATTGACTCGGAAAATGATTCGTTCATTTTCATGAACGCGTTCGAACAGGAGAGTGAAGTGTTACCAACTATCCTTATCTGGCCGAGTTTTTCAGTGCTCTAAATTACAGTACAGAATGACTTTTTCAGTCATTATCTTGAACATCGTATAAGCATTTATTTCATGTGTCATTGAATGGAAGAGATGCTCTCGTAAATGTGTAAATGTCACATCCTTTTGATAACAAGTTCTTTGGGAGTGGGACTAAAAATCAGCCCTGGACATATATATTTTGCTGGAGGATGAGTGTTAATCCAATAACCCAATACCCCGATCGCCCAAGACCAGAGGTTTTTGTTTTAGTTCTTGATATAAATCATTTTAGTCTTTTTCTTTCTGTCCAAACAGCCAGTGCTCGCTTTGAAGAAAAAGAAGCACTCATGTCTGAGCTGAAGATCTTAAATTACATCGGGCCGCATGAAAACATCGTCAATCTGCTGGGGGCGTGCACTCAGGAAGGTACGTCTCACATTAATCAGCAGTGAAATCAGTAAGATTATCATTATAACAGACTAAACACTTTGAATTCATGAATGAATTCATCAAATTCATTGAATGTGACTTAGTGAAACATGTGCTCCCTTAGATCTTTGAGTCACACAATAAACTATTTCAAAAAGTGAACAACAATATTTCTGATTGATATTTACACTTACTTAATCAGTTCAGGTTTTTATCAGTTGACCGAGTAAGGTCGTTGCCTGCTGGGTTTGTTAAAAAGGGCAAATCAGGGTAAATCAGCATCCGACAAGAAATGCTGGTGTTTTTGGCCGAAGACAAATAGAAGTGAACAGGGCTGTTAGTAACACGTTTTTTCTATAACCCCTCTAACTAAGTGTGTTTTTTAGACACTGTTTATCTCTATCATTAAAGTTGTTTAACAATCTACAACTTATTCTTGTTTAAATTAAATTCAAAAACTATAGAAAGCATGGACTTCAGTTTAAATTTTGTACTTTTATTTTGATTACATTTTCTTTATTAGTGCAGTATAAGCCCCCATCAACAATTTTAAGAATTTTTTATTTTTTCAAAAATATTGGGGAAAATATTCCATAAAACAAACAAATTTGAAAAATTACACGTTTATTTTACATGTATATGTTGAAAAACATTACACAAATGCTTGACACAGCATTATACATTAATTATTATAAATTAAAATACCTACATTTTATTTTACATTACGTAAGTTAAGAGGTTTTCTGGTTTGTGATGGTCTGCTCTGCATTGTAATTTTTTATTAAATCCTCTTGTCAATTTTTCAGCATTAAACGTCAACTGTGCAATCACAATACTGGTTATATACTTAAATATTGAATATAAAAAAAGTTAAAAGTAGTGCATCAGTTGTAAATAGATCAGTGTGGCTTGATGCCTGACTTTGATTTGATCTGATATAGGACCGATGCTGATGATCACCGAGTACTGCTGTCACGGGGACCTCCTCAACTTCTTACGTCAACGAGCAGAAACATTTGCAAACACTTTTCTTGGTCTTCAAGGCTTCCCGGAGGATTCAAACCTCTACAAGAATGTGACCGTTCAAAATAACCATCCTGCAAGGTATGCTCATGTCAGGTCAACCTTTATTTTTATAGCACGTTTAAAAACAGCAGAAGTTGACCCAAAGGGCTTTACAGATCAGGCGAGAATAAATAAACACATTTAAACACAACATCATACATTCAAAAGCCATCCATCATTTTGGACCCTTCACTGTGAAAGGTCACCCTTAGATTTATAACACCAACGAGGAGCCGTCAATAACAGTTGGTCAGAAGACCCGAGTGCTCTAGTTGGAGAGTAAGGGTGTAAAAGGTCTAATATAATATATTTGGGTGCGAGACCAGATAGTGCCCTGTAAACAAGTCGACATTTTAAAATCCACTGGAGCCAGTGTAGAGATGTCAAAACTGGGGGAATATGATCCTTTTTCTTAATCCTGTTAGTGTCAGTCCCAGATAGCAAACTGACATTGAATCAACGTGGAAATATGACATCGAAACAACGTTGATCTGACATTGTTTTGCTCATCGAATTAACATTAACCAACGTCAGACGCGTCATTCTTTCAAAACTAACGGAAAATCAACTTGAAATCAACGCGTTGTTTCAACGTTATGAAAGCAAACCAATTTTCGATTTTCATTTAGCTTTGAAGAATGCCACGTCTGACGTTGGTTCAACGTTAATTCGATGAGCAAATCAACGTTGTTTCAATGTCATGAGAGACGTCGTTTCCACGTTGATTCAATGTCAGTTTGCTGTCTGGGGTGTCATATAATAAAGGAAGGCTTTCCTTGTACCACCACTTCTTTTTTAGCAAATGTGATCAATGCTATTGTTGTTACGTTTCCAAGTATTATTAAAGCATTCTTCTTCCAATAAAAACACATGGTCAGGCAATTTTTGTTGAAAGGACTTTTTGTCCTTCAGATTGTTGGGACTAACTGGACCAGTTGCCATCAGATCGATTGTCATGAGGAAATTATACTCATTTATACTGATTCTTCATTCTTTTTATTGGGTTTTTATCTGTTTTATTGTGTTTTTATTTTGTATGCCGCCTTTCTTCACTGTTTTTAATGTTTTTTTTTTTTTGTCTATGTTTCCATGAAGGACCACAATGGAAACAAGCCTTTGGGCTTTTTTGAGTTTTTATCCTTTTGAACACTTCATGTCGAATGTTTTTAACCCTTATGCTGCATTAGGGACATTTTTGGTCTTTTGCAGTTTAATTTCTTTGACCATTTTGGCTGTTTTAATGCAAATGGTATGAAATTTGGCAAAATTGTGACTTTTTGGATACATGTAAAAAATGTGATCCCATTTTGCAAAATATGTATAACACACACTGTGTAGATCAAATAGTAACACTCAGCACCATAAAGACCAAAAATGGCCCATTGAAACCCATTAAAACGTTGTTTAAATCTGAGGCTGTCAGTAATACATGAAACATGATTTTTGCACAAACATCCTTTCATTTTGAAGCAAAAGCATTATATTTGCATTATATAGTGTATTCCACCAGATCACGTCACTACATATTTATTCCCTATGGGTGGAAATGCACCTTATTTTAGGCAATAGGCAATGTTTAATAGGTGGCCATTTTTGGTCTCTAACGCGCTAACTGGGATTTTTTGCAAAGTGGGACTGTGATAATCCAAATCTAAAGTTTTCTCTTTGCATTTAGTTTATTGAAGATAATTGAATTTTTGTGTTTTTTCCTCTTATACAAATCGATGGTTTCGCAAACAAAACTGGTAATTAAAGGGTTAAAATCCTGAAATTGAATACATTTTTGGTAGTTATGATGAGGACTGATGCTGGTTAAAAGATTTAACTTGGTAAAAGTGGAAAATAATAATAATATATAATATTTTAGGCAATGTTTAATATGTGGCCATTTTTGGTCCTTAATGCACTCAACGGTGTTAAAAATCTAATGCAGCACAAGGGTTAAATAAAGTTTTCAATCAGTCAATTAAAAGGCTACGTTCACATTGTCTAAATCCGATTATTTGACTATCTGATTGGAATCTGATATAAAATTATTGATGTATCGCAGCTGTTCAGATCTGTGTGTCCATGCCACTCTTTCCTTTTCCGGAATCTGCTTTGGTTTCAACCCAGACAGCAATATAGTGTCGGCCCAGATCCAGCCCACATCTGGGACACATGGATACCACATGTCCCAGTCAGATGTGGCCCGGATCTAGGCCAACACTATGTTGCTGTTTGAATATGGAAATTACGTTTTGTTGGTAGGCATACGGTTCTTTACCAGTTTCAAAATATGTCTCCGTCATTGTTATCGGTAACACTTTATTTTACGACCCGCAAACAACTGTGTAAGTACACCGAAATTACGGTGTACATTTCTGTCATTATAGTGTACTTCCGTGTAGTTATAAGGGAACAATATGTAAAGTTTGGGGTAATAAAGGGGTAACAAGCAGATATACAAGCAAATTATTTAATTAGTTAAAAAATAACAGCTACCTATTCTGTTAATATATTCAAGGCAAAGATTGTACGTCTGTTGTTTATAAAATGAATCACATTTCTGGCAAAATATGTTCAGGGTAATTTTGACATCTGTGGGTTGAAAATTAAACGCACGTAAATATATATATATATGTAATTTTCTGTAACAACAAAACCTAGTTTCTCCAGCGACTTGCAAGATGTTTCCTATTAGAGCCCGACCGATAAAGGATTTTGAAGGCTGATACCGATACAAATATTTTTGGATTTTAAAATTCGATATTCCGATATATCAGCCGATATTTCTTTTTATTTTTTTTTCAGAAACGCGCAACACAACATTAACAGATTTCCCTAACATTAGTTATTTGAAGTTATTTATGAATTTTAACTAAAATAATATGCTAATCCATTTTAAAAATAAACTTGTTTCTTTCATTGTCACAACAGAACGGACTGATGGGAGTTGCATTAACTAGCTTTGTGGTTAGCTAGTCTATGATGAGCCATAATTTAGTAATGGATAATGTCGTACTGCAAATTGCACAGATTGTGTCATGCTTATTTGAGTTGAGAGAACTGATGGGAATGATCTTTTAATTGCTATTCAAGCAATATATGTATCGTGACCAACTCAATGATTGTGTTGAGTGCCACAAACTATAAAACTCCAACTCTCATGACATGGTTCAAGCGTGTTTCGTCCGTTTTTATTTTATTTTTGAAATATTCATTTATCGGCCATTATAACTGCCGATACCGATAGTTTGGAAAATGCCTAATATTGGCCGATAATATCGGTCTGCCGATATATCGGTCTGGGTCTATTTCCTATTATAACGTCTGATCTTTAAGTTTATCGTGGCGTGAGAAATCACATAAACCACGCGAAATCTGATCAGAGCAGTCAGACTGAAACGGATTTCCATAAATGTGATTTGAATAAGATTTCAAGCCACATAGAATGTAGCTTGAAACAGTTTTTCAAGTCGCATTTCATGTGATTTTGGACTGATCATGTGATCGGATTTCAATCGGGTATGGACAAATAATTGGATATGGACTGTGAACATATCCTAAATGTGCGGTGGTTGCAGTGTTTCTTCTATTGTCAAACATGTAAACCTTTTTTTTTAGGATCACTTGCTCAGAGAGCTACACCGACGCACAATCAACACGGATGTCCACAGACATTTGTCAGGGTAAAGTAATAAGCAGACCAAATGTTCTGTAATGGGAACAATTGGGCATCCTAATCATTTTGCACTTTTCCGACAGAATCTTGCAATGAAGGAGGGGAGGACGTGTGGTCATTGGATAGTATTGATTTGCTGAAGTTCTCCTATCAAGTGGCACAGGGAATGGAATTCCTAGCCTCCAAAAATGTAATATTTCTCAGTTATATGTTACATATATGTGTCAAAATTTAATTTAATTTTTTTTTAAAAATATCTCTTCTGCTTGTTATATAATGTAAATGAATAGGTAACTGGGGCAATAACTGGGGCAACTGAGCTACAAAATAACATAAAAAAAAAAAAATTGCATATGAAATCAGACCTGAGTGCAAAATAGGGAATTGATATGAGGAAGTTTGTAAGTCGCTTTGGATAAAAGCATCCACGCACACTACTTATAATGCTACTTTTTAAAGTTTATTGTTGTTGTTGTCATTTTGGAAACGTGACAGCCCCAGTCACATTTTACTTTTAATATAGAAAAGAGATGAACAAAAGTGATTCATTTTCATGGAACGCTAAGTAATATAAAGTGCAGAATTTTTATTTCATTATGGATGCCAAACTGCACAGAAAGGCTAATTATGTGAGAGATTATGTATTTTATAATTTTTGCAACACTGTAATTTTATAATGCTGTTTATGCTCAGTGTATTCACAGAGACTTGGCTGCGCGGAACGTTCTTGTGTCTGACCGCAACATTGTGAAGATCTGTGATTTTGGCCTTGCACGAGACATCATGAATGACATGAACTATGTAGTAAAGGGAAATGTAAGTTATTTTTTTCTTTCGTTGTGAACAATTCAACATTTTCGTCTCGATTTCTAACAGCTTTCTCCAGCACAAATCCTCTATTGGCATTACAAATTAGTGCTGAAAAAGTGTGGACACGGTTATTTTTGTGCATATGCGGTAGTTGGAGTTTCCCTTTAAGACAGAAAATGTATGTGAGGAGAGTATTTAAACGAATCACGCAAGGTGATTAACTAAGGTTTGCGCTCGTCAATTCACTGTTATTTGTGCCATTATTTAAAGTCCCACTGTATAGTCAATAATTTTATCTCTTAAAACTCATCTTTGATCAGCAAAATGACATATTAGTGTACGCAGTTCTATGAATATACAGATGAGCCCGCCTCCAATCACTCACTGACGATCACACGTTGATCCAGCTTTCGGTGGCGGACAGGGGTCATCATGGGCACATTGACCGAATAATAATAATAAACAAATGTGGAAGGGAATTAAACCATCTCTGAACTTGCTTAAACTCGTCTGTGACGCTATTTTCTTCTAGAAACAAACTTTCGTGCATTAGTTATCTCTGTAAAGCTGCTTTGTTGTAAAAAGCACTGTATAAATAAAGCTGACTTGACTTTTACACTCGTTGTAGGCCCGGCTGCCAGTCAAATGGATGTCGCCTGAAAGCATTTTTGAATGTCTTTACACAGTACAGAGTGATGTCTGGTCATATGGCGTGCTTTTGTGGGAGATCTTTTCCTTGGGTAAGGGAATTTACACGTTCATACCTATTAAAGTGTTCATTTCATGAAGGTATTGTGTTGGTATTATGGTCTTTCTTCTGTTTTTTTAGGTATGAGTCCTTACCCTAATGTTGTGATTGATGCACAATTCTACAAGATGATTAAAGATGGTTATCACATGCCACAACCAGACTTTGCCCCTCACGAAATGTGAGTCTATAAGCATTTGTGAGGTTTTAGAAAAGAAACAATAAATACTAAGCAGATGTCTTGACCGTCTGTAGGTACACGATGATGAAAACGTGCTGGAGCCTGGAGCCAACTCAGCGTCCCACCTTTGCCAACATCACAGAATTTATCGCAAATTTGCTGCCAAAGCAATCCAGCCAGGTGAGGCGTCAAAGCACAATGTCAGAACAATTTCATCTGGTCTAAAAGCAAACAAAATATAGCCATGCTTCTTGAATTTATTATTTAGCTGATTTATCTGACGCAGTGTAGTCTCCCAGATAACAGAGAACGTCCTCAAAACTTTCTGGAAAGGTTCTCCCAAGGTTATAAACAAACATTCTTCCATTAATGTTAATGTTGAACGTGTGTTGAAAGTTATTTAAGTTCTCATTGGGTTAGCTTAAAAACGTAACTTACACTCTACAAAATGCCGGGTTGTTTTAACCCAAATGTGGGTCAAATATGGACGAACCCAGTTCCGCGGCTCCGCCTGTCAAACTCCCACCCTTGACTCCGCCGTGTCCTGGTTTTCCTGGGCCGCGGTTTCACACAGCTGTTTTAGACTGGTCTATAGTGTTAGACAAGTCTAACATTTGCTCATAGACTTAGTCTAATGCAAGTTAGACTGTTTCATAAAAATAAAGCCTGACTTAATTTAGACCAAAACAATGGACTATGTGCACGTTAGCATATGCTAGTTCCGGCTGCGAAACCGATATGGGGTGTCTAGTTTCCGGTAGCCTGATGGACGACGTAGAGGATGTATGTTTCTCCAGATGTCTTGAACATTTGCCGAATATTACAGTCGATTATGTTCATCGACTGGCTAATGATTTTCCTCCAGCTCCCCAGAGCAAGAGAAAAGGGGTTTAAATATTACATTTCTCAGTATTTGCATCATTTTGAAGGGAACGTTAAGTCACAACAACATCCATGCTCAGACTGATCTCATGAAATTGCGTATGTATGACATCACGTATTTTTGGCATGCTATCAACACGCATAATCTCTTTTCAGCGTGTTTATGAATACCGTTGACTTAACGTTATTATTGTATGTATATATATATATATATATATATATATATATATATATATACACAGTGTATATAGCATATGACCTACCTCAACCCCAACCTACCTGTCACTCCTACCATCCTAGGAAAAAATAAATATCGCTCCCCAGATGTAGATCTACATTTTGTTTTGTTTCGCTCGGACATTTGACGGCGTGTACATACGCGGTACACGTGGAATCACTCGGACATTAATGTTGCCATGCTACGTGCTCAAGCTATGCGATTTGGTAACTGTTATATCTCTCTATACATTATAAAATGCAAAATCATGCGTTAGAAAGTGCATTTTCCAGAACAGTTTGTGTTGGCCATTGTTTTGTTTTATGATGTTCAGAGGCTATGTTGTTGACAACCACTATCTATATAGAATGTCATATAGATCAGTGTTGACAACCACTATACATGTCATACAGGGAGTAAAGGTATCCGACGTTGGTTCGTTCGTTATCAAGTTAGGCTGTTTACACATATCTCTAAACAGGTCTCCCTTGCAAAATAGGTTCTAAACCCAGGGGCTTCTCCTTGTTAAAGGGTATAATATAATAAATAATATTAGCCTAAAAACTTCCTTCTAGTTGTCATGGATACGGAACGCTCCACTCTGTAAAGCGACTGCTTGGGTGCGGTGACAAAATGTGAAATATCGTTTACTTTTCACAATGCAGCAGCGCCTGGCTCCACCCAAATATGAGTGAAAACTGTGTTGGTTGACTTGACAATGAACAAACGAACATAGTTTTAGACAAATATATTTAGATAGCTAAGCTTTAGATAGCCGGTCCACTGATGTAGGATGTAAACAACGGCAACCGGAACCGAAGTACCCAACATCCGCCCTCAAGGCGGAAGTTAGCATTTTTCTAGTGCACAGAGTCAATTAGACGTCTCAGGCTAAGGCCCGTTCACACCAAGCATGATAACTATAAAGATAACGATAAAAATAACTAGATGCGTCCACACCAACGACCGATAACGATCTTTTTATTCTAAGCGCGCGCGCGCGCGCGCTTGCAAATGACCTGCTGCTGCTGCTTTACGTTACAAACAAATATCAAAAGAAAAACAGGCGCTTTTTGTTTTGGGTACACGATCAATATCCTTAAAAGACGAGAGGAGTTGGGAGCGCATCTAAACAGTGAATCTAGTCTAATGTAATATCTGGATTTAGTCAATGATGTCAATGATGGGATAAAAACATCGCCTAGTACTTCAGCAATGTTGTCAACTAGCGCTGGGTAGCCTACCTGAGGTAATTTTGTAATAATATGCTAAACTGCATAATCTCACCGTTTATTCCCAGAATGGTTCAAGTTTCCATATATCCGTCTTTAACGTATCATTAACTTGTCAAACAGTGGAGGATTTTTTTTTGTACCTCGACGATTAACTTCTCGGCAATGTCATCTGCCATTTTAAATGCGCGATTCTGATTGGTTGTCAGTGTTTTATCGTTGGACAGCTGGAAAAAATCGTTCTGAAAGTGATCCCAACGATATCGTTCCTCATATCTTCCCTCCAGAAAAACGCGATTATGCGATCGCTGAATTCAATGCAAAATCAGCCAAAGTCCGCATATTTATGCGGGGCCGCATTTTTTCAAATACGCCGCACTTTCGCCGCATAAATTGCCGATTTCTGTGCAAAATATGCGGGGTTTGCTTAATTTCATAATCCTCGCATTTTCGTTGCAAAAAAAGTCACATGTATCTTAGCAGAAAGTTGAAAAATGTTGCGTTTGCTTCACACAAGAGCAGCCGTTTCCCCCTGTTTCCATGGGAACGTTATGAAGTGACGTAATTACGCGACGCCAGACAGACTCACGGAGGCGATTGACATCTCACAAATCGAACTCGTATAACTGTCTGTCACACGTTCTACCGTCACATCGTTACTTAATAAACAACATATGGTAAAAGAAGTAGCGTCAAACAGAAATTACCCGCACACAGGGTGTTCGACAGTTCAACAGGGAGCGCGCAGCTCTTAAAGGGGCCACGCCTTATTTACACTCGTTACAGTCTGAAATAAAACAAGATGAAAAATTAAATATTCCCAGCACTTTCTATGATGTAGTATGCTTGCTTATCAAAGGAAGTAATAAGAAATGACTCTTACATTAGCCGAGTGAGAACAGGATGTTGGGGGAATCACTTTTTCTCTTTTTTATCAAACCGCAATTTTTGCAAGTTCCCTCAATTTTTACAAATTCCTTCAATTTCATCGCATTAAATTGCATAAATTTATGGTATGATGCTGGCAACCACAGCTGCCAGTAGTTTACCGCGTAATCATTAAATTTTTGCCCGCAACAATCCCCAAAAAAGCTCCGCGTTTTTCTGGAAGGACTGAATACTATTATGGTAAATGTTATATATAAATCACACATTTTTTCACAAATTTTTGGAAATTACCACCACAAAATCAGTCATTTTGATCGAAAAAATCACAAAAAAAAAAAATCGTGAAATCCTGGAGGGACTGGGTATAGCTGTGGTGTGACACAAACAGCCGAAAGAAAACACAGACGACGGTCCACCGTATATCTCCATCACCATTTAGTGTCTTTAAGTTCCTCTTGGGGTCCTCCTCCTGTTTCTGGATATTTCCTCTTAAATATTTCTTTTTTGGCATCTTGTACTATGTTTTTGTATCTTTTCTGTATGTCTTTAACTCATTTATTCATTTAGCTGACGCTTTTATCCAAAGCGACAATGCCTGCCTATAGCGAGTGATTGTGATATAGACCATTTCACAAGATGTAAACAACACTGGTCCAGAAGCACTTCCTGTTTCAGTTTGTAACTGTTTTCTTTATTTCACATGTAAAGAAAACATCTTAAAGATGTTTGTTTAACTTTTTGATTCAGATTTATATATTCCGTTGGTTGTATTTTATCCCAGCTTTTATGTAGTGTTAAAAAACTAAAACTGGAAGTGCTTCTGGACCAATGTTGTTTACATCTTGTGAAATGGTCTATAAATGCTTTATAAATATATGCATTTATACTTGAGGCCAGATTTACTAACAGCTTGAGCCAGCGGAAACCTTCTTTCGCTGTTAAAAACTACTGTCAGGATTTACTAAAGACACGCAGTGACACTTTGTTTTTTTGTAATTGCACTCTCACGGCTCTGTTTAGTAAATCTGCCCCTAAGTTCACTCAAAACCAGATTCCTGTTTCATTTCATGATGCAGCAAAAATAGCAAGACTTGAGACTGCAGGGTGTTGTATTTGTGTTTTCTTAGAAATATCTCATGACTCATGTCACTTTTCTTATGTTGCTTATATTGTTGTCTTACACACGATAATCCACAAAAAGGTTGTGATTCCTAACCACAGAAATATATAAAAAAGGATTTCTTTTGTCTATCAAGATGAAAGTCTCAAACTTTATTTTAAAAAGATGCCCGCACAACAATAATTACATACTGTATATAATATATGTGTGTGCAATACTCAATAGTCAATACAATACAATGGCAATACTCTACAAATACATATTTGCAACAAAACATAATTCAAGTGTAATATATGGGAAGTAAAAGCTTCTCTTCTTCAGCAGAACAATGAAACCATGTATCCAGAGTTTCCGAGGCTCCCGATGGCGTCGGCGTCCCATGTCGGCAGAGACGAGGCCCAGCCTTTAATGAGGAACAGTTTGACCTAACAAATATGCTTCAGTTTTTCATGTCTGTGTTTAGTACTAGAGCTGACAAGACAAGTCCCATTTCTATTCACTGCATGCTTTGTGTTTTGTTTTTACATTTATAACAACGTAATATCATGCTATATGATTTTTGTGATTCGTTTATAGCAGATAATTTAGTATTTTACTTTTTGAAACACATGGCAGCTAACACTTTATCAAACATCTTTTTATATATTCCTTTTCATATTGTACATTAACTTCATCTGAAGGATTAAGAGCACAGGTTGTAAGTCATGATTTCTTGATTTATACTTGGTCATATACAGTGGATCTAAAATAATGTCTCTGTAAAAAAATAAATCATATCAGAACCACACTTCAGAAAAAAGCTTAAAATAACCTAAAGTGTACACAAACTTTTGTAATTGGAAATGTGTCTGTGTTCAGAAAGACCTGATCATCAAGCTCATGCTCACTTCTCTTCACATTGTTACATATGTATGTTTTTATTCTTTTATATAATGCATTAATTTTTGTATATGTAGTGTGTCATGAGTAGGATCAACCCGATCACACTAAATGCGTCTCTATAGCACACACGCTGTGTGTTTGTCGTGCAATTTATACACGAAAATGATTTTTAACTTGTATACGCATGGGTTGGTTAGGGTAGGTTTAGTAGTGGTGTGGGGTGCATGTGTATTATGCATTTGTGCAGAATTAATGGTGGGTGTTGTGTGAGTATCAAATGCACACGAAAACTGCACATAAAAACTAATTTTCACGTATAAATTACATAATACACAAGACAATAGAGACACATTTATGTCTTCATTGGAATGGATGGCATTAATAGTGTAGTTTTTTCTTTGATATAAGTTATTTTGTCTTTTTATATATTGACTACTTTTGTGTTATTGTGGGCCGTGGCGGGTCACCCTGAGGTTTATACTCCCACTGGGCTTTCTTTTGTTACTGTGAAGCTCTCAACTTTACATATTATTTCCCACATCTAAATAAAACATTTATCTGAGCTATTCTTTGCTTGTGAAGTTATTTATGTATTTATTTTTGGTCTGACGACTGGGATGCTCGTAATAACCTGAAGTGACTCTGATTAACTCCAAATAAGATGATTTTTCTTACATTTTCTTGATTGCTGCTACTACAAGAGCCACAAAGCCTTTACGAAGCATCTCATTAGCCGCATTTCCACTGCTGGGCTAGGGCTGGGCCAAGGTGGATTTGCAGATCATTTTGTGTCAATATGCTGAATTTAGGCGTAAAACCATACCCATATATTTTGTATGGTTATATATATATTAGGAACTCATCAATTAAATATCTGTCATTGCATATTCTGCATTATTGGATGTTTTTTTAATAAACACTGCCCAAAAAAAAAAAAAAAAACTATAAAGTTTTATGGCTGGACGATATGATATTTATTTACACATATAGGCTCTATATAACACTGATATAAGTGATCACACGGATTTAGACCTACCTATATTGTATTTATACAAAGCGTTCACAAGGAAATTTGCTTTATATTTAGGTCTATATTGCTTTTATTTCCCCGGTGTCGAAATCAGGCAAACATGAATGTCAGGGAACACGATTCCTGGCTGCATGTCAATATCCATGGATCACTGGATCTTTAGTAAGTTGTAAGGAACACTATGTGTCATTAAACATTTAGTTTAAATTGATAAAATTGTTCATTTTAGTCGCATTTTCGCAGTTTCTCCTATTAAATCCAGTCACGTAGCAGATCTTTTGCCACTCAGTCTGGCTGAGGGGGGTTGTTCCGGCGGGAAAGTGATGTCAAACGGTCGGGTCAGAGGTCACTCTTCGGCTAAAACTAGCCATTACTTGTGATTATAAAGTAATATATATATATATATATATATATATATATATATATATATATATATGGATATTTTTGTTACAAAGACACGTGGTTTCACTTCGGCTTTATTAACCCCATCCGTATGGATTTGTAAGCACTTTTTTGGGCTTCAAAATCTCTAGTTATTATTCAGCTATGAATCTATACACACTATCACTATATACATAGGACATTTATACAACATTCATACATATTTTACAATTAACGCCATAATTTACAAAAATTATAATAAAAATGAAAAATAAATAATAAATAATACAAAACAATTTAAATACAATGTCGCTACTCCAAATAAAACTATATCAAAAATAAACTAAGAACTACAACAGTATGTCCTTAATTAAATTAACATTAACTATCTAAATGTCTTTGAAGGTAATATTTCTTAAGTGAAGTTTTGTACCCATACAAGGTATTTTGTTGTTTGATAGTATTTGGGAGCGAATTTCATTAACACACATTGCTAGTTTTAACTCTAGGTAAAATAAAACTTCCTCCTACTGCATGTCTCGTTGGATAATGATGTGCATCAATACTAAAGGATAGTTTTGTATATAAAGTAAGAGGTGTTTTATGTGTTGTGACATTATATAAAAATACCATTAACCAATCTATTTTTAACTTTGATCTGTATCGCTGATGTAGCAGGAACCAGGTTTGATCGACGGATAATCATTTTTATTAATGTTTTTTTCCCAGATATTTATAGCATATTTTTAGCATATTTTTTTTTTTTGTAATATTGGATTCCGGGTAAATAGTGTCACCTTGTGGATATTTTGAGAACTGCGTCTGTCATCAATGGCGTTCAAAGGTAAAATCCTTTGAAGAAAAAGAAAAAACGTGGCAAAACCTCAGCAGATTCATCATTGACAATATTTATAAAGATTTTGCTTTATTGTGGAAGGATGTTGTTTTTTGTTTTTATAGAAGTCATAGTAAAGAAAAAACGTATTTCATTATACATTTGTTAATTATTTTGGCGAAATTTCATATTCATAAATGTAAATCAGTGCTAAAAAACCTAACTTTGTACTTTTTTTCAACGATGTTGTACATTATATTAAGCTGATTTCTGGCTCCAACAACAAAAAGGCAATCAAAACTTTTTTCTTTGTGATGGCCCTTATGCTTCCCCTGGCAAAACTGTTTTGTATTTATTTTAATGTCATTGTTTTGTATATTGTAATGTATATTTTGTTACTTTTTTGTACTGTGTTTTTGCAATAATAATAAAAATAAAAAAAAGAAAAAAAAAAGAAAAGAAAAAACGGAAAAAGGAACCGTTCCAGACCGGAAGTAACTTTTCAAGATTACCAAGGTAAAACATTTTTTAAATATATTTTTACTTGCACGGATTAATTGTTCACCACAAGACTAGTAATATGCGCTAACAAAGTAAATAGGTTCAATTTTGATTTCACGGGGACTTTAATTAAGACACTTATTTTAACATAACAGCCATTAATGCACAAATGAGACGTTACATTAACACTTGATATGTACTTTAAATGACACTTATGTAACCTCGCCCAGAGTAAAGAGCTCCGGTAAATCATGAAATGAACCAGCAGTCAGGATTTTGATATTATTGATACGCTTGCTTTTACACAGCAGTTTTATTTAATGAAGTCCCTTCCATATGGACACATAACAGAAATCTAATAATTAAAAAGATCAAACTAAAACAACCCAGGCAGTACGCCGAGGTACAAGTGCAGTTAAGAAAGGATTCATACTCCAAACATAATTCATTCACCACAGCATTTATAGCCTACTATAGGTAGGCCTATACATGGGGAAACATAAAAATAACTGTAGGCTAATATACTTGAACATCATGATGTAACTTTGTGAGTCTTTACTGAACTCAAGGCAACACAGAACATACATGTAGCGCTTGGCCGACCCCAGAAACACTCTGGCCAAAAACACATATTCACCCCAAAACAGGAACACCCTCCCCAGGAAACGAACTGCACTATTGCAATAGTCAGTCAATATATTACAAGAACAAACACCTTTAAACAAACAATTACGCAATCATTCATTCTCATGAACACCATCATTAGGCTCATTCCCAACAAGAGAGACTCACTCGACATTTGCAAATCAAAAGAGATCAAAAACTCATGAAAACACCATATTAAATAAAAACAGTAGAAAAACAACTACACTGAAAGTACACTAAAAAAAAGCTGGGTTGTTTTAACCCATCTTTGGGTAAAATATGGACAAACTCAAATGGGTTAACTGTTTAAATTACATTTTTAACCCAAAATCTGGGTTTGTCCATATTTTACCCAAGTTTGGGTTAAAACAACCCAGCTTTTTTTTAGAGTGTAGTCTATACATTAAGTTGAGTACTTCTGGTCTAATTTCTGACAATCATTGACTTTAACACCCTTACCAGTCATGCCTCACACACTCTAAAAATTGGGTCAAATATGGCCAAACCCATTGGGTTACATTTTTTAATTACATTTTTAACCCAACGTTTGGGTTTGTCCGTATTTGACCCAAAATTGTGTTAAAACAACCCTACATTTTAAACAACCCTCAGTGTCCGGGCGTCCACCTGTTCACTACACACTAAGAAATAAAGACGAATCAAGTCATGCCCCAATAAAGACAAAGCTTATAATAAATAATCCATGAATGACGTGCATGTTGGAAATAAAACCGCTGAATTTCTCCCTCTTAATAGCCAAATGTGACACTTTAGGAAGTAAAAAAAAAAAAAATATTCTCTCATTCACTTCTATACAAGTTTACCCAACTATGACAACCTTTGCTTCTGAGAAACCAGGATATGTAATGGTCTACTTGTTTTGAAGTTGAAAATACAGCACACAAAAAATGGCACATAATGATGAGTTTAATGTGCATAGACTATATAAGTCACAGCACATGCTGAACAAACACACTGACGGATCATAAGTCGGATTCATGCTTCAAACACACGACAACACAACAAACTATAGACTTATTAGATATCGGTTTCTCCAAAAGATCGAATGAAACTATTCAGAAATAGGCCTATTCATAAAAAAAAAAAAAAATGATTCAGAAGTTTTATTTTGGAAAACATAAAAAACAAAAACATTTTTAAAAAAACCACTGCAACTCGCATTTGCTAAAATACTTTTTGATATTCTGTAAACTGTATTTATTCTCTGTCATATTCTGTGAACACATGCGCTCAACTGTTTCTGCCTGTCCTGACAGACCAGAAAACTCGATCTGTCTAAAACGCGTCTGTCATCCGGGTGTGTGATGATGTGGAATCCGCTGATGATAAAAAAAAATAGAGAAAAAAAAAAAAGAGGAATCCGCTGATGATGCTCGGGACCACTGCGCATGCGCGGCGCAGCTTGCGTACGCTCTCTTGCGTAAGTCAGTCGTGACTCGTGGTTGTGTGTGAGTCTGCACGTCTCTCCTCCTCTCGGCTGAGTCCTGTCCTCCTCACGACCTTTCAGAGGTATGTCCACATCTGAGACCTTTATCCTGGACTGGAGATTACAGTCGTGAGGGTCATTGAGGGTGAAAGTGATCGCCTGTATCTCTAGTGTTTTAGTGACTCAGGGACGAATGTGATTGGGATGGTGAAGCGCATCAATGTCGCGAGCAGGGCCTCTGCGTTAACGCGCTCGCGGTGTCTGTGCATGAGCATCGAGTGCACGCTATCCTGGTCAAATGTGCACGTGCTGTTTAAATGCATTCATCCTGCTTCGTTTATTGCATTTTAATGGTTTTATTTTAATGCACACGCGCACGCATGACTCTTGTCATTGTCTCGCTGCGCAAGCAGATCGCTTTGACAAACCAAAGGAAATATTGAAGTGTGAAAGTGTCTGACTGCAGTGATTCTGTGCACATTTATCCTCAATCTACTCTGATAGTGGCCTGTAAACCTGCGCCACTGAGTCTGATGCTAGCGTGTTGATTCTTGCATAGAAAATGCTCTCTGTGCTTTCCTTCTCTGGCTTATTCTTAGAGAAATATTCGCACGAATCACGTATAGTGTGTGTTAGGGAATAGGCTTTTATTGTTATGTGTGTATTATCGATGTATTCATTTGTCAACCAACATTAGTGTAAAATATCTGAATTGGTCCATCTTTGGAAAGGCTGCTCACTGCAGAGGTAATGGGCGGGGCTTGACGTCCAGTCCCTCCTCTCTGGGTGCACGGGGCGGGGCTTGCACCTAAAACTTACCCTTAATGAGGGTAAGCTCCACCCATTATTTCCACTGATCTGAACTGTCAGACTCATGACGTCTAGATAGGGAACTCTCTCTGCAGTGTGCAACACTTGAGCCGCTCCCTGTGTGACCTTGCCGTGACCTCTGCCATCTTCTGTCCTGCTCACCTGACACTCTCTCCGCATTGCAGACAATGGCCGTTCCTCCGACATATGTGGACCTGGGCAAGTCTGCCAGGGACATCTTCACCAAAGGATACGGTATGAATTCAACTGTTTTTATTCTAGCGCTAAAGGTGCATTCTCACTACAATTGACTTTGCCGCTGCATGTCTCCAGTGGCTGGCGGTGAGGTGTTCCCTAGTTACTGTTGCCAAGTAATGTTTACATTCACTCATAATGCAATATAAGCTCACTACTCATAATCATTCATACTTCTGTATGTTGTGTAAAACAGTTTTCTTGCCGCTACAAACAAACATTTTGGGAGGAAAGTCTAATAAAATGCATAATATTAAAGATGAGCGAGACACAGTGAGTGCTCGTTGCCATCGCCGGTATTTAACTATATATATCATAAAATCTAGGACAGTTTCTGACCGCTAAAACAAGCTCGTCATTCATCTGGCCTCGGCACTGACTTCACCCTATTGGTTGTCGCTCCCAAAAGTCGCTCTTCATTTGCATAAAGTTAAACAAAATATAGTATGGTAGTGTGAACGCACCTTAAGGCTCTAACCATGTCTTGAACATTGGCGGGATCAAAGATATTTTTCGTTTGTGTGTGTAAATAGTGTTTGAATATAAATGTGTGTCGCTCTTGTGTTCTATAAGTACAAAACAGAATAGAATCAAGAATAGAATAGAAACAGAAATGTGAAAAGCACTATATATAAATATATATATATATTTGAATCATGAAAATAAGACTTGTTCGGAGATCAGTTTTCTTTGCGGGTGAGAGTTCATTAAAGCTAAACTGTGTAACTCTTAGTTTATTCTTAGCTAAAAATACTTAGTTCTTTCAAAAATATATGTGCTCGTCAATGTATATTTACTTCGTTTAAGTAACAAAGTATTCTCGTGAGTGTATAATATGCCATTGAAAATACATACGGGTAAGGGGTTCGCCATGTTGCCCCTCCATCTTGAAAGTACATTAGCCAAAGAGGGACATAAACGTTAATTCAAGCTTCGCCTTTCGCATTTACGTTTGAGTTAACACTCATGGACGAGGTCGAACTGGACGCCATGTTAATCTTGGACTACATTGGCCACCGTAGGAGTTAAAACGAAATGGGAATTGAGAGGAACAGAAACTAATATTCACTGGATGGTCATACACCTTTTCACCACTAGATGGAGGTAAAAATCACACAGTGTAGCTTTAACTTGTGGTGACAAGCACTGCTTTACACACTGACTTAGTGATGGTTGTCTTGGTCATTTGCAGGTTTTGGTCTCATCAAGTTGGACTTGAAAACAAAGTCGGAGAATGGATTGGTAAGTAGAGAATGGATTGGTCCTGTTCAAATGTCTATCCGACTGTGGGACAAACGCTGCTGATGTGCACTTTTAAAAAGCCAAAATGTTTAATGCTTTCTGTTTTTAGAGGTTGATGTAGACACTAACACATGTACAGAGCACTTGACCCTTTTGTGTTAGGATGAGCGAGGGATGTTAACTATACACTTAAACCTGTCATCAATAATGTAAGGTGATCTGTGCATGTTAAACTGGCATGCCATTTGGTGTGAGTTGTGACAAAGGATTTTCTCTTTAGATGCAGAAGTTTAGCAATTTGATTTGATTGACAAGTGCTTGATTTAGTCCCTTTAAGGAGAACTGAAGCTGTAAACCGTACAGGGAATCCTGGCGTTTGCACATTATTATAACAGTTTATATTTAAGTGCTTCATTTGGATATAATAATCAACACTCAAATAAAACAGACATTTAAATTGCACATGAATCAGTTTATACATTTAATGATATAAGCAGTATAAGTATAAACATTAAAACGACCTGTTTTCATGACAGTTTGTTTTAAACATAAATTAAATAATGAAGACATCACTGACAGGTTAAGGAAAATATAGTGCATATGTAATATCCCGGCTCCAGAATAACATCTGAGAGCAGTCGCTGTATTTACTTATAAAACTACTGTTTTTGCATCAATACGTGCAGTTTTACAATATGGTTCATTAGTTAATGTATTAAGTGTCACGAAATAACCGTGAGCGATACATTTGTTACTGTGTTTATTAATATTTGTTCATGTTGATTGATAAAAATACAGCTGTTCATTGTTGTTCCCAGTGCATTTACTCAATTAGTGAAATATTAGTAAATGTTGAAATTAAGATGAACAAAGGTTAATAAATGCTGTATAAGTGCAGTTCATTAATAGTTCATGCTAATTAATGTTAGCTAATGAACCTTATTGTAGCAAACTAATATGTTGGTGTTCAACTTTGCGTTTTAAAAATACAACAACCGTTCATTTTTTGTTTTGCAACGAACTTCTGTGCATAATACGAGATAGAGTTCTTTATTAAATTCATTTAAAAAAAAGAAACAATAATTATAGGAATAGCCTCTCTAAACCTCAAAGAAATGCCATCAAGACATCGAAGCAGAAATAAGGGAGAAACACCCAGGAACTCTGTGTCTTTCCCTGCCATTAATGATTGGATAACACACCACGTCCCCTTCCTTCCATTAATAATAATAATGCATGGCTGTGATAGAGGTTATAACAGTGTTGTAGTCGAGACCACCTCACTCGAGTCCGAGTCGACACCGAGACCAGAGAGAGTCGAGTCCGAGTCGAGACCGAGACCAGTGAGGGTTGATTACCTAATTTACTTTTATTTACTTAGAGAAATCCTTTTTTTATTTTACTGAATTTACTTGGAGTTTAAAAAATATGATCAGTTTAGGGTAAAAAGGCCACATAGTAGGTGGTGTTAAAAGTAATTTTATTACAATTTGTCATGCGCAGTTGCGCACTAGAAAATCACCAATCACTGGGCGTGTCAATCAATTTAAAGAAATATTTTATTAACATACATTAATAATCATGAAAAATATTTTTAATTGAACTCGAGTGGACTCGGGAATAATTCCGAGTCCTAAAAAAAAAAAAATGTTCGAGTACGAGTCAATTCCGAGTCCAAATGGACACGAGTCCATGACAAGACCAAGACTATTAAAATATGGTCTCGAGTCCGAGACGAGTCCGAGTCTCGAGTACTACAACACTGGGTTATAAAACCTACCAAAGTCTGTTGCCATGATTTTTGGAATGACTTATCGCGAGAGGAAAAAAAAAAGACGTTTTAGTCGCATAACATCGGTTAATGGAAACGCCGTCATTTCGCAATAGTTTTTTTATCGACATTTGGAAAATATCGCAAAAGTTTTGCGCAAATCTGTAATGGAAACAAACGTGCCTACTGTTCGCTGATTGGCCAAACACCAGAAGACGCCATTTTTAAAAACACACAGATTATAGCCTATATATTTACTCCAGAAACTCTACGAACATGTAAAACAGTGATAGATGAGTCTCTCGACCTTTACACGGAGGAGAAAACCCATGAATCATTGTTTACAAGCGGCTTTACTGATGACCACCACGGTAGAAATGCTGATTGAGTGATTGACTGACCCATCAGTGTTCATCATATGTTATATCATGTGATCTTCTCCTGCTACTGTAGGAGTTTAAAAGCTCCGGCTCGGCCAACACAGAGACCAGTAAGGTAGCAGGAACGCTGGAGACCAAGTACAAGTGGGCCGAACACGGGCTGACGTTCACCGAGAAGTGGAACACCGACAACACTCTCGGCACGGAGATCACTCTGGAGGACCAGGTGCGGATCCAGAGCACATGATGGGATATGAGTTTCAGTCTGGTCCTCTAACATGAACGCTGCTTTATTTCCCCAGTTGGCCAAAGGGCTGAAGCTGACGTTTGATTCCTCCTTTTCTCCAAACACTGGGTATGTGTCTCGCTATCTGTTCTCTTCAGTATTTTATTTTTTTTATTTTATTTATCCTTTGTTTTACCAGGATAGTCCCATTGAGAAAAAAATCTCTTCTTCCAGGGAGTCCTGGCCAAAATGGCAGCACTTAAAAGTTAAAGTATAAAGTATAATCAGTGGACTTCCATGTTTCATCGTCCAAAAACTGCCTTTCAGGAAATGAAAAACAAACACTGTGTTGTGAAAGCACACATAGTCAGACAGTTGCACGTCGTATTAGTAACATGTGACCAAAATTAAGCTCAATGCAGGATTTTTGAGCAGCAAATGTCAACACATGAAAATGTGTGTTTTGTCTCATCATTTGAGCCGCTGCATCTGAGGCCGAAACTTATTTCGGTCAACTTAAAAAAGAAGGAAAAAAGAAATACAATTTACAAGCAAACATAGAAACCAGAATTAAATTACAATATTTTTTAAAAGAAAATAAAACCGAAAAGGTGTCTGATCCTTTTACATTTCATTTATTTTACACAAATAAATAAAAAAAAGTAGGGTTAAAACGTTATAAAGTATAGTTATGTCAGAGTATAGTAGTAGCATATGAAAAAAACTACAAAGTTTGCTAGGCCGAAAAGATCGCTAATCTCGCGGGAAAAAAATCTACTACGTTAAAATGGGTTTGCGTTAACGCTGTTAATAACGCGTTTAACTGACAATATTTAATTGGGCTGGGTAATAAATATCGATTTCTCGATATTAATCGATTCTCTTTTTTGCGAACCGATATCGATTCTTAAATCTCAAGAATCGATTAGTCATCCTGTTTCATTTGAATGAATGGATCATTGTATCGCGGCTGCGCGCATCCAAAAAATCGCAATAATCTTTGTCCTTTGTTACTATTGATATGAAACAAAGTCTCAATTTTCAAATTACGTCCATTTTCTTTAGAAATTCAAAAACATAAATAGCGTTTTGGCGCTTTGGCGTGAGATCGCTCTGGAGAAGCAGCAGCGCTGATCTCTCTTCCGGCTTAATAATACCAGTCACAGCGCCAAATAAACATGAATGAGCATCTGAAAGTGTGTTAAAGATAGAGTACAACTTATCCAAATCCGTATCATCTCACATTGATTCGCTCAATCAGCGTTTCAACCGTGGAAAGACGTCAGTTAAACAGCTTGTAATCAATGTATCGTCATATTTACCTCAGAAAACCCACATCAACTCGTTAGTCAGCTAGAAAAAATAACTCTAGAGAGGAGCATTTTGCTAAATATATACACCATATTACATATGCATTATAATCTTAATGTTCTTCAATATTTAATGCATATTTGAATAAATCTTTTGTTTTAAAAAAAAGTTTTTATGACAGCCACCATTTAAATGTTTATATTTTATATAATCTTCTTATTATAAAAATAAATAAAAGTGTAATTTAAGTGTTTGTATAGCTACAAAACAATTAATTATTACCTTCATATTAGGCTAATGAAGCCTATAGGCTACAACTAGACTCCCATAGTTTACAGCATTAGTTAAGAGATTTGATTTCCTTGAGAAAAATGGCCATTTATTGTAAATGATATCCAAAATAATCAATATTGAATCGAATCGAATTGTGAAATTTGTGTCAATACCCAGCCCTAATATTTAAGGTAGGAAATGTACAAAATATCATCATGCAACATGATCTTTACTTAACCCTTATGCTGCATTAGGGACATTTTTGGTCTTTTGCAGTTTAATTTCTTTGACCATTTTGGCTGTTTTAATGCAAATGGTATGAAATTCGTCAAAATTGTGACTTTTTGGATACATGTAAAAAATGTGATCCCATTTTGCAAAATATGTATAACACACACTGTGTAGATCAAATAGTAACACTCAGCACCATAAAGACCAAAAATGGCCCATTGAAACCCATTAAAACGTTGTTTACATCGGAGGCTGTCAGTAATACATGAAACATGATTTTTGCACAAACATCCTTTCATTTTGAAGCAAAAGCATTATATTTGCATTATATAGTGTATTCCACCAGATGACGTCACTACATATTTATTCCCTATGGGTGGAAATGCACCTTATTTTAGGCAATAGGCAATGTTTAACAGGTGGCCATTTTTGGTCTCTAACGCGCTAAGTGGGATTTTTTGCAAAGTGGGACTGTGATAATCCAAATCTAAAGTTTTCTCTTTGCATTTAGTTTATTGAAGATAATTGAATTTTTGTGTTTTTTCCTCTTATACAAATCGATGGTTTCGCAAACAAAACTGGTAATTAAAGGGTTAAAATCCTGAAATTGAATACATTTTTGGTAGTTATGATGAGGACTGATGCTGGTTAAAAGATTCAACTTGGTAAAAGTGGAAAATAATAATAATATATAATATTTTAGGCAATGTTTAATATGTGGCCATTTTTGGTCCTTAATGCACTCAACGGTGTTAAAAATCTAATGCAGCACAAGGGTTAATATCCTAATCATTTTTGGCATAAAATAAAAATCTATAATTTTGACCCATACAGTGTAGAGACACCCGTGTGACTCGTGACGGGTCACACGTTAGTTGATGACTGCCTCATATTAAGTGTTGTGGAGCACAGATCACCAAGACATGTCTGACGTTTCTCTGGCTTGTTCCGTAACGTCCCACAGCAAGAAGAGCGGGAAGATCAAGAGCAGCTTCCAGCACGAGCACCTGAACCTGGGCTGTGACGTGGACTACGACATCAACGGCACCGCGGTGCACGGAGGCGTGGTGGTGGGCTTCGAGGGCTGGCTGGCCGGGTACCAGATGACCTTCGAGGCCGGCAGGAACCGGGTCACTCAGAGCAACTTCGCTGTGGGATACAAGACCGACGAGTTTCAGCTGCACACAAACGTGTACGTACTGAACGCTGTGTCTGCGGGAGGGAGATGTGTGTGTTGTTTTTCCAGGCTCAAGGTTAGACAGGTGGGTTATTTATATATACGTTTATTCCCTGGCGATTGGATTTGTCGAGGGCTTTAGCGCACTAATGTCACGGGCTACTTCTGTATATCATTGAGGCTCAAATTAAAAGCGTGAGTTAATTCTGTGCAGTTGTTTAGGGCCCTAGATGACATTATGTCTATTAAAGTCCTCCTCTAGTCAATCTATTTATCTTTTAAAGTCATTTCATCATCAAAATTACATATTTAAATGTTTTTTCCTTAAAATATCCTGAATGTAACTTGACACCCTTGCCTCATTTAGTATGCGCGGCTCTATGAATATGCAAATGAGCCCTGCCTCCACGATCACACGTTGATCTGATTGGTTACAAGGTGGTTTGTGACGTCAGAAACACCAGCGATTTCCAAACCGTGTTTTTGAGACTGTCTTTGGTTCACTGCAGTTTTAAGGAGGAAATACTCAGCAATGCTGTCCACTTATCAACGCACACATGGTGTGTGTAAACCCTCAGGTGCTCTTCTTTCGGAGTCACACTTGTTATCTTCCCGGTCAAAAGTGACCGGACACCTAAAAATTAAATTTCCTCCATCCCAGTAAAACCAATGCAATTTATTTTTGTTCTATAATATTTATTCTTTGTAATTTAGTATTTTGAGACAATTTGATTGAATTTATTAATATTTATGCAATATTTATGGTCTATTTTTGCCATGGAAGAATATATATTTTTTCTATATATATATTCTTTTTTTCAAAAAATTATTGATGCAGTATTTTAGTTTAATATAGAGTCCAGGCCTTCAGAAAAAAAATATTTTTGGAAGAAAATTAGCACCATCTGGTTACAGTATAGAGAAAAAGCGTAGAATCATGGTGTAACCACTAGATGTACAGCTCTCTATGGAGAGGCATATGAATTCCCCAGATGTTTATGAACCCAAAAAAAAAAAAATCAAAATTTGGGAATTTTTGTCAATTTCCCATTCATTTCCTATGGGGGTCATTTTTGACCAAAGACCACAAGTGTGACTATTTTTTTTAAAACCACTTAGCATGCTCAGATCATGACCTCAATTGTTTTGTGTGTTCACATACATAATGCCATAAAAGTCACCAAGTTTCGTAACATTCCGATGAAGCTGTGATTTTTAAAATTTCAAGACAGAAAATTTTTCGGTCAGAAATGACCGAAGAGCACCAGAGGGTTAAAGCACATTAAAAACACCACATAGACACATAAACAACATTAAAAGCGGGATTTTCACCACAGGGGGACTTTAAAGGGCAGTTTTGTGTTTTCTTTTCTATTTAACCTGTCGATTTAATGCCATTCACAGTTTTAAAAAGCGTAGTTTTGAGAATATGAAAAGGATGTGTGTGAATGATGCGTTTTCTAATCACAGGAATGATGGAACAGAATTCGGCGGCTCCATTTACCAGAAAGTGAACGATAACCTGGAGACGGCGGTGAACCTGGCCTGGACCGCCGGAAACAGCAACACCCGCTTCGGCATCGCCGCCAAGTATCAGATCGACGCCGACGCTTCCTTCTCGGTGTGTGTTCACTAACTAAGTGAAGTCAGCATTGCCACTTTTAGTTTTTCTTCGAGCTAGGTTTTCTTTTCAGTGATCAGTGCTGTCGTTTGTTGGCATCTGTAGGCATAATGATGCGTTAAAGGGATAGTTCACTTTGAAATTAATTTTTGGCATGTTTTATCTTACCTCAAGGGCATCCAAGATGTAGGTGTCTTTTTTTCCACAGTAGTTTCAATTTTGATATTTTTAGGTCAAACCGTTCTTGTCTGTCAGTCATATAATGGAGGTCTATGGTCACCACCTCAAAGAGCAGCACAGAGAAGTCCAGATTAAACATGATTTAATGACTCGTAAATGTAAGTCCACATTGATGGCCTAAGACACGAAACGAGCGGTTTGTGTGAGAAAACCAACAGTATTTATATCGTTTTACCCTCTTGTAACCACAGCCACGTCCAACTGATCTTGCGGGTGATGCGGGTGCTTCGGTCTGGGAAAGGCCGAAGGAACGTATACAACGACTTTAGACTTTGTATACGTTCTTGCTTGGTTATAAGAATGTTATTAGAACGTTATGAAATAACAATTTTAGGTTATACTGGGCGCTATTAACGAATGACAATAAAATAGACCATCCTAGGTCAATGTATTGCAGTAATTCCTCTCTCAACCAGTAGGAAATGCTTTTATTTGCATGAAAAAAAAAAACTGTCATAAACCGGAAATCCGGCTTAATTCTGGAAACAAAATGCGATATAATTTTTTGTTCAAGCCGCCCAGCACTACCCCGCGCAGCGTACCGGTATATCTTAAAGAGACTGCAGATTACACACATTTTAGACATGCTCATATTTTAGAGTATGTAGTTAATATTTTCGTTAATAATGATTTATCATATCCACCTGCGATCCGCCCGAAATCAATCAGAATGTTATTTTTATTACTTGATCCGCAGGTTATCTGCAGCACCCTCGGATATAACGGCGATCCGTGCATCACTAATACACATTAGTTCAATTACGGGTGTGTTAGGCGTGTTATTACATGTTACATGTTGCACTACTCATTATATTACTTAAATGTTACACCCCAAAGAATACGTGTATTTTCTGGGTGTCACGATATATCGCAATATCAAAATGTGATGTGAATTCAATCAGGTTATTTTGGTACCATGATGCTTATCAACTTCCTCTGTCAATCTGGATCCTGAGTTTAGGAATAACTGGAATAAAGGAGTAGAAACAGGGGGAACGACTTCATTACATCAGAGATGTTTCACTTTGCTGTTTCTTACCCACTCACACACTGTTTGTGTGTCTTACAGGCCAAAGTGAATAATTCTAGCCTCGTCGGCCTGGGATATACCCAAACCCTGAAGCCCGGTAAGTTTATATAGATGTAAATTATGTGAAACAAGTTTAATAAACCTGTTGAAAATGCATATGCAGCGGTTTAAGCCAGGCGTGTCCAATCCTCAGTAACCCAGCTGATCAGTGTCTCGAGGATTGCTCGAAGCATTTAAAATAATTGATTGATTATTTATCATTTTATTTCAAACTTTACCTCACTCCAGAATCCGCCAGACTGTGATTATAAGTCAGGGGCATAAATAGTGTAACATTCACTAACACAGACTATACTGGAAGTATTTGTTTTAAAAGGGGTGGTTGATTATGAGTTCACTTTTTTAACTGTAGTTAGTGTGTAATGTTGCTGTTGCATAAACAACATCTGCCCAAAGTTCAGAGCAAAGGGAGATATTTACTTAATTAAAAAAAACAAAACAAAAAACACGTTTTTAAGGACTACAATACACGGCTGGTAGAACTACACAAGCTTCCTCCCGGGTTAGTGACATCACCAACCCTTAAATTTACATAAACCCCGCCCCCGGGAACGCAATTTATAGATTATCATGAGAGAATATGCTAATCAATGTCTAGAAGATAGTTAACTCCACATCAGATACACACATTCATCAACTAACCATCCAGAAACGTCCTGTTTAGAGGAGTAGTTCACTTTTGAAAAAACTTTTGCTGATAATTTACTCGCCCCCACGTCATCCAAGATGTCCACGTCTTTCTTTCTTCAGTCGAAAAGAAATGAAGGTTTTTGATGAAAACATTCCAGGATTTTCTCCATAAAATGGACTTCAATGGGGACCAAACGGTTCAAGGTCCAAAAGACAGTTTCAGATGCAGCTTCAAATGTCTTTAAACGACACCAGACGATGAATAAGGGTCTTATCATGCGAAACGATCGGTTATTTCAAAACTTATTCCAAAAATGTAACTTTTCTAAGGACAAATGCAAGCCTTGCTCTATTCTGTGAGGCGCGTTTGTAACGTCACGTAATACGTAATTACGTTCAAAAGGTCACGGGCGACGTAGCCGGAAGTACAGAGTCAAAATCGTCCGACATCGTTGTTTTACCTTTTAATTCCTTTTTTTGTAACCGGCGTTTGAGTTAGTTTGCAACCTATGCGTTCAACTTGTAAACACTGACTCTGTACTTCCGGCTACGTCGCCCGTGACCTTTTGAACGTAGTTACGTAATACGTGACGTTACAAACGCGCCTCACAGAATAGAGCAAGGCTTGCATTTGTCCTTAGAAAAGTTACATTTTTGGAATAAGCTTTGAAATAGACGATCGTTTCGCATGATAAGACCCTTATTCATCGTCTGGTGTCGTTTAAAGACATTTAAAGCTGCATCTGAAACTGTCTTTTGGACCTTGAACCGTTTGGTTCCCATTGAAGTCCATTATATGGAGAAAATCCTGGAATGTTTTCATCAAAAACCTTAATTTCTTTTTTCGACTGAGGAAAGAAAGACATGGACATCTAGGATGACATGGGGGCGAGTAAATTATCAGCAAAAGTTTTTTCAAAAGTGAACTACTCCTTTAAGTCTACGTTATCACTTCTCTGACCCCGGTTTGAACATAAAAGGCTAAACGTGTTTAAAACACACTTTCTCTGAGTGAAGTCCTTGAAAACCAAACAAGTAGTGCTTGAAAAGTTCTGGATTTGCATTTTGCATTTGAGTTCAGCACAGCTGATCCTCATGGATGTGAATGTTCCTCGTCTAACCCGTTCCCGTCTCTTCACTCAGGGATCAAGCTGACCCTCTCTGCTCTTCTGGATGGGAAGAACATCAATGCTGGTGGACACAAATTGGGTTTGGGTCTGGAGTTTGAGGCATAGGAAGTTCAATAATCCTGACTTGATTTTTTTTTTTTCTTTCTTCCCTTTTGAATACCTTCCCTCACAAACCTCGTTTCTCTTAGATTCCCCGGCCGAGGACACGCACTCGGTCAAATGATGCATTAGTAGAGGCTCACGTCTTCAGAGAGTGTGTTTGCTAAAGGAAAGACACTGCTATAGGTCACACAGAATGAAAGAACAGCATAAATGGCTTTAAAAAATGTATTTTCAGTACATTATTGACATTATTTATTTCAGTGTTGATTCAGACAGAATATTTGATTTTTGGCCGTTGGCTAGAAAGGGAGACGTTTACGTCAGAAAACACTAATGCTAGCGGACTACATTCCTGATCCACGGTTTTCACCCCGACTGACCTTGAAAGAAGGGACCCGTATATAAGAGTACACTCGAGGGCCGCTGTAGGAGCCCTTCACGTCTTTAGTTGTAGACACCAGACTTTTGGGTGCGTTTCGTGTTTGTCTCGTCTGTGCGAGTGAACCCACATGTGTATCTTGTCCATTATTGTTTTATTACTTGCCTGTACCTTTAATGGCACCACTCTTTCAGCTGTCCCTGAACTAAAGGAGATTGGAAACAACCTTTAGATGTGCCGGGGAAGAGCATGAAAGACTTGAATATGTGGATGTAGTCTTCCGTTTTTAAATGTTGGATTAGCATACTGTCCATTTGTAGCAGTTTGGTTACTTTAAGTTGAATAAAACATTTGGACCTGGACCACACTACTGGATTGTGCAGTTTGATTTCTTACCAAAAAACAAAACAAAATATTGGTAGTATATCCAAAAATGTTTTTGAGGAAGCTTTATTATTAGTTTAAGTCCAGCTTTTAATGTTTTTAATGTTGTGTATGTGGTGTTTTCAATATGCTTTAAGACACACCATGTGTAAATTCATAAGAGTATTTCCTCCTTAAAACTGCAGTGAACCAAAGAGAGTTTCAAAAACACAGTTTGAAATCGCTGGTGTTTCTGACGTCACATTACCTTGTAACCAATCAGATCAACGTGTGATCGTCAACCAGTGGATTTCTGAGTGAGTGGGGGCGGGGCTCATTTGCATATTCATAGAGCCGCGCATACTAAACGAGGCAAGGGTGTCGAGTTACATTCAAGATATTTCAAGACGTGAAAACTTAAATGTGTCATTTTGGTGATCAAATATGAGTTTTAAGGGATAAAATTATCAACCACAGGGGGACTTTTAGTATGAAACACGTTTTAACTTTTTATTTAAAAAAAAGTAGAAGTACATTTTTAAATACTACAACCATTGTGAGGGATGTTATTAAAGTTATTGGTTTTGGTATATTATTACAGTTCACTCATGCATCATTTAGGGTGAAACATTGCTTCGATTAAATTGCATTTCATTCTGATCCAGACATCTGATTTCTTTCAATGTAAGATGGAAAATATGCATTTTATATTTTTCCTTTCAGAAAAAGTTCCTCTTTAAAGTGTCTCATAGAAAATTGTGATGAACGCAAAAACAATGTACATACTGTAATTCACAATCTCTTTTGCTGTTTGTCAAAGAATTAAGCATTAGAAGTTTATTAAAGCAAAAGTCGTAGTTAATAGTGACATTTGGACCCAAAACTAAAGTGTGACTGGACAATTAATATAATAAAATAATTAGTGCTATCCACAGTGGCATTTTTTAAAAACAAATCCTCAGATGTAAACATCAATGATACAAACTTACAAAATCCATAACCTTTTGGAAATGGTCTTTTCTAATAAACGTTTAAATAACAACTTTATAAGAAACTCTAATGTTTGATTCAGTCCTTCATGTAAAATCAACATGGCTTAAACCATGCCTTATATGGACATTACTGTTTGAATATATTACTAAATAAAATAATTTACAGAAGTTATTCTGGACACATTAGTAAATATATTAATTAATATTTTTTGATGCATGCATTTTTTGCAATATATTCAGTTATATTGAACGCTTATTCTTATTTCCCTTCATTTTGGATTGATTTCCAGAGAAATTAACCTTGCTATGACATTTTACTTTTTACAAACCCCAAATTTTTCCTGAAGGACAAAATTACACACGTCCTTAAATTAACTTGGCAAAGTTTTACATTCACAAGACCAAAACATATTATCTCATATTATCTATTGTTACTGATCCCACAATATACTTTCAAATATGAGAACAAGAAACTCGTAAAAGTAGTTACAAATCCAGAGCTTGTCAGATTTATGTAAGCAAACGCATTTTTGAATCTTTTCACGCACACACTTTTTGCAACAAATTATGCGTGAAAATCAAGGATCTTGCAACCCGTCACAACGGCGCGACTGACACTGCGCATGCGCGCTGATGACGACATCACTGAAGATGGCGACGTTACGGAAGACTCGATGCAGGGACTCAACGATGGGAATACTCGCAGTTTTAGTGTCACTGCAGATCCTTTCTGTGAGCTGCGCTTCAATAAAAACACCAGGTTAGTGGAATGATTTCCCTTCAAACCTCAGCGAGTTGTTACTGCGGCCAGTGATGTCACTTAATTATTTACCATGTAACGTTAGCTAATACAACCGAGCCTAAGTTTCGTGTGAAGGTTAACCTGTGACTGAATTCCCCTGTGCGCCTTAAATGTCTTTCTCATGTAATGGTTGTGTCTCGGTACCAATAAATAACACGTTTACATACCGTTATATAAGTCTATGATTCAATATAGAAAACTCACACAAGACTCTCTGATACGGATTCCGGAAGTCTCGTGCTTTTTGTGACGTAGTCAGTTTCACAACTGTCAAGCCAATGTATTTGCAAAATGTGTATCTATATGTAAACATTTTCACATTTTTGTTTAACTTAAGTTTGTCACTGCTTTGTTTGTCTTTTCTTGTTTTTTTAATTTAGTTTATTCATTGTACCCCTGACTGTAATTGTAATTCTTGAAATAAATAATAAAAAAAAAAAAAAAAAAAAAAAATGTATTTGTATACACGCAGATTTTGAAAAATCTATTTTTACGTATGTTTCGCATGAATATCTAATGTACCACCAGAATGCTGGTATTTTCTCCTATAGTGTCTGTCCAAAAGTGAAAAACAAATGTCACATGAGGAAGCTGACTTGGCCAAACTGCCAGATTCTCTCTCTTGAAGACAGAAAAAAAAAATTATGACAGAAAAATGTCCTCGACAGATATTGGGTTGGGTATATATAGCGTTTAATGATTCCTATTCTGCTTATCGATTCTTATCAATTCAATTTCAGTTATCAATTACCAATAAGGTAATGATTAAAAAATCTTAGATATCATTCACTTTGTCTTATTGCAAAAAAAAAAAAAAAAACATTTAATTGTAGCTGAATATAATGAACAAAATCAACCGGCTAAAAAAGAACATCACACAAGGAACATTTGCCTGTGGTTTAAAAACACCATAGAAAAAAAAACTTGCCTAACTAATATAGATGTCAAGCATTATTAAAAACAAGTAAATAATCAGACTTAGGTCAGTCAGTGTCCTTTTCCGCTAGAGCCAGACCGATATATCGGCCGATATTAGGTTTTTTCCGAACTATCAGTATCGGCAGTTATAATGGCCGATAAATGAATATTTCAAAAATAAAATAAAAATGGACGAAACACGCTTGAACCATGTCATGAGTGTTGGAGTTGTATAGTTTGTCCACCAGAGGGCACTCTACACCGTTCCTGTTGGCAACACTCGTTGAGTTGGTCACGAGACATACATTGCTTGAATAACAATTGTGGGAGCCATTAGTTATTGTTGATGTTGTGGTGGTTGTCTACACTAGAGGGCAGTGTGCTTGTGCTACAGTATCCAAGTTCACGGTGGCACAGGCGCGCCAGCTAATTAATACACAGGTGTAGCGGGTGGGGAATTATGCTAGGGTGGCGGGGAGATCACACGGTTTTTACCGCTGGCACGCCACAGCTAGATTAGTCCTCACGTTTGCATATACTTTGAACTCTGTAAACTATATTTTTTCTATTAAATGGGAACACCACCCAAAGACGCTAAACGTTGTGGACTTTAAATTCATCCGAAGTGGACAAATAGCGCGTCAAAGACAGGATCTAGCCCTCACCCTGCTGAGTGTCTGATTAATGTTAAGACAGTCACTACACAAGTAAAAACCTTGATCTCGTTGAGATGTCCCGGAGGAACAACAAATGAAATCTGGTTTCGTTTGGATACTTTGGAAGTTGGATTAATGTTCGATATCGTTTGGATACGTTGGAAGTTGGACAACAACTGGATTTCGCTGGAATACTTTGGAAGTTGAATAAGCAAATGGATTACTTTATCGAGCCAAAACTGCAGCATGGTAAAGCTATAAACTGGGTCATCCATCGTCAATCCTAAGGTAGGATAAATCTTTTATCATTGACCGGCAAAAGGAAAACTTGGACCTTCCTGATAAGCAGGTTAAGAACTGAAAGACTTTTACATCTGTACAACAATTGACGCAGTATTAATAATATTGCTATATAGGTCACGTATTGCGAGTGTGTTGCCTAGGCAAATGAAAGGCAATAGTCGACATAGCGCAATAACAAAGCCGTGAATCTTACAAAGTAATCTGTTGAGAATGAGTGACACACAAGGCAATGATAAAAATAAAGTTACAGAGCTGCAACGTGACGGCAGTGAAAAAAGGACAAGAAAACCTACCGCTAAAGGAATCATTATAATAATTGAAAGGCTTCAAAAGGAAAGAAGTATGATTTTTAAAAAAACAAGCAAAATAAAAGCAGACATCGTCCCGTTTCTGGTTTCTGTTGAAAAGGTTCCTGCAAATGTGACAAATGTTCAACAGAAACTAAAAGGGTTTAAGTCTCTATGTCAAAATGCCTTTGATCTTCACAACACTTTGCTCAATGAGTTTTCTCTGCCTGAAGAGGAACGGAAAAGACAGGAAGAATGGTTTCAGTTAAAAAGGTCTGTTAATGATGCATTCGTTGAGGAAGTGAATAAATGGTTGAAGGAGATGGGAGCTTCATGTGATGATGAAAATGTGAATGATGCCACTGACGTGGATGATGATGATGATGATGATGATGATGATGATGGTGGTGATGGCCAGGGTGCACAACGAAAGGTAAAAAATAAAGATGCTCAATCCGTGTGTCAAGATGACATTAGGCCAGGGGACAGTGTGTCTAATGTGTCCAGTCAAAGATCAAGCAAAAGAAGCCATGGCAGTTCCAGTGCATCTTCTGCACGGTTAAAGGCAAAGGCAGAAAGCGCAGCTTTGATGGAGAAGGCTGCTGCTTTACAAAGGAAGCATCAGCTCGAGGAACAAGAGGAGGAACTCCGATTGGAAAGAGTCAAGCTGAGGAAAAGAAAGGAACAGTTGGAACTTGATGCACAAATTGCTATGGCTGCTGCAAGGCTTTCAGTACTGGAAGGCAGTGATGTGGAAATGGCTGCATCAGATGGAATGAACTCATATGTGCGTAAGGCACGTAAAGGGCAAAGTCTTGAACTTAATCCAAATGCAAGCATTTATGTTCCTAAACAAAGCACAATGGCTACAAAACCAACTTCAAGAGAACCACCTTTGTTTCCTGTGCATGTCGAGCACCCCTTTGCACGTTCACAGAATCACGAACAGCGTCGTGTTATATCATCAGCAAAAGATAGCACTTTTAGACTGCAGTCACAGCCATTCAATGGAACACATGGTACTACTGGCCAACAGCATCAGTTTGAAAATGTTCCTACAACCTTAATAACTGCGCCTGCTGGATCAGTAGCTGCACAAGAACAGCAATTGCACAGGCTTCAGCCAGCACAGAGCACTCCACCAATGCAAAGCACTGTGGACCGGAATGCCATATGTGGAATCTTGCAAAAGCAGAATGAGATTACAGCAATGCTTGTGCAGCAACAAATGTCATCAAGTTTGCCACAGAAAGACATTGCCATATTCGATGGGGATCCATTGCAATTTCTTTCATTTGTTAGAGCTTTTGAACACTGTATTGAGCAGAGAACTAGCAGCTATCAAGACTGTCTGTACCTGTTAGAGCAATATACTACAGGGCAGCCCAGAGAGCTGGTTCGAAGTTGCCTACATATGGCATCGCAGCAAGGATATCAAAGAGCAAAAGGTCTTCTGAGAGAGCACTTTGGCAGTGAACAGAAGATAGCAACAGCCTACATGGACAAGGTGTTCGGATGGCCTGTTGTAAAGGCTGAGGATGTTAAGGCATTGCAGGAATTTGCACTTTTCTTAAGAGGCTGCTGCAATGTTATGACTGAGATACAATGTATGGAGGAATTGAACATTCCATCAAATATGAAGAATGTGATAATGAAATGGCCATACAGGCTGCGGGACAGATGGAGATCTATAGCTTGTGAGCTACAAGAACGACGAGGCTATCGAGCCACCTTTCCTGATATGGTGAACTTTCTTGAGACTCAAGTCAAAATCTTGTCTCATCCGCTTTTCGGTGATATTGCAGACACACAATCTAGTGCTTCGAAGGCTATGAATAGTAGAAGGCCAGTGTCCAGGAGTAATATCAAAGGAAGCAGTTTTGCAACTAATATTTTGGCGATGCCAAGCCAGCCCAGTGCTTCGAAGGAGTCAGGCTTAGAATCCTGTCACTATTGTAAGCAGCGTCATCTGTTGCCCAAGTGTCCAGACTTGAACAAAATTCCTCACAGGGAGAAGATTGAATTCTTGAGAGAAAAGGGTGTTTGCTTTGGATGCTTGAAAGTGGGCCACATGAGTAAAGAGTGTAGAAGTCGTCTGACCTGTGATGAATGCAATCTGAAGCATCCAACTATTTTGCATATCTACAATAAAGATAAGATGACCAAGACACAGGAAGTAGAAGTAAATAATGCACTGGTGTCACTTCAGGCATGTGGTTGTACTGGGGCCGGAGATCAACATTGTACTCTCTCCATCATTCCGGTACAGGTGAAATCTAAGAAAGGACACAAGGTGCTCAGGACATATGCCTTCTTGGACCCTGGAAGTACAGCAACATTTTGTACCAACAGTTTATTGAAGAAGTTAAATCTGCAGGGTAAAAGGACCAATATTCTACTACGCACCATGGGCCAAGAGAAGGTTGTTGAAAGTCAAGTTGTTTCAGGTCTAGAGGTGTCCAAATTGGGTGGCAGCCAGTTCTTGGACCTCCCGGAGGTGTACACACAGGACGCAATTCCAGTGTCAAAGAGTAACATTCCTATCCAGCAAGACCTTGAGAAATGGGAATATTTGAGAGATGTTAAAATTCCAGAATTGGATGCAGATGTTGAAATCTTGATTGGGACCAATGCACCAAAATTGATGGAGCCCTGGGAAATTGTTAACAGCAAAGGTGGTGGACCCTACGCCGTGAGGACCCTATTGGGGTGGGTCATCAACGGTCCATTGAGAGGCAATGGTGGATGTTGCAAGAGAAGCTGCTCAACCGTCTATGCCAATAGGATATCCATT